CTGTACTAGTATATTAATATATAAAATACACAAACTATTCATATTGATTCTTCGCCTGACACAAGTCTCAATGAAAGAAAACACCTAAGACACCATATCAAGTTCCAAGTTTATTGAAAAAATTTATAATCACTGGGAATAATTTCTTTAGCGGTATGAAATAATATTATCACAGGAATAAATTCCATTTAGATATTAACAATCATAAACTTTTTTAATTCATTAATATTACTTCATGCAGGTGACATAACACTTCTTATTTAACCATGTTGCAATACTTGCAAATACTGCACTTAATTGTGATTTAACATTTCCATAACCGCGGAAAAACTATGAGAAGGTACTTCCTGAGAAAGGACCAAATTCACCTTTTTGTTTGAAATAATTTTTATAAGATAAACTTATGTTCCAAAACCATTTTGTACTAAATTTTTCTTGGTGTTTAATTGTTTTACAAAAATTATGAAAAGTAATATTTCTGCCTTTAAGAGACATGAACTTGAACTTTTTTGCTCTAAAATCCACAACTTAGAAACACACTCTTTGTCATCCAAATAAGGGGAACTTTGTGTTGGAAGTACATTTAACAAACTGAACAATTTCCACTGACTTTATGTACCAAAAGCTTGGTTAGAATGTTCCCCATAATATAATTTTACAAGAAAAATACTGTAATCCGGTTAAAATATACATTTAAGTAACAACAGATAAACGTACAATACAGGTAAACGTACAAATAAGAATAATGCTGGTAAAAAGTAAATCATTTCTAAAATGTAAAACTGCACAGTTAACAAGTTTTTTTTTTTTTTGGTTTAGAAATTTTTTTGATGTAATTTTGTGTTTATGCATGAAATTCTAAATGTATGGTGCAGTAAAAGAAAGCTGTCAAAAATGACACGCTAAGGCTGTATTCCCAGAGCTTTTAGATCGATCTATCCACACGGGGAGTCTCACTAGATTACTGTCAGATAATCCGGCCTAGAAGTCCGTCCCGCCTACTACAAGCTGTAAGGGGGTAATTAACTTTCGTGTCTGCTTGGCTGACAGCTATTTAGCGTGAACCCCCAGGGAGTTAGGTCGATCTAAAGTAGATCGATCTAATCTCTGGAAATGGGGTCTAAGCATACATGAAAAGTAAATACATTGGTGTTGGAAGCTATACAAATGGATATGGCATACATAACTAAGAATTATCATTACTCAATTCTTGAACAATCACAGTCTGGTGTATTCCCAACATATTCATACAACTGGCAATACATATAGCTTTGGTTACTGCTTTTGACTTATATTTCACTTATAAAAACTAGTAACAGTAATCTATATATCTCAAAATTCGCCACAATTGGCATTAAACAAGATAGTATCAAAATGCATATACGAAGTGGCCAGCCATTGTATACTAAAAAGCTCAATATCAAAAAGTAAAGATCAGGTGGACGGAATTTGGACAGAGAGTAAATATACTTGAACCATGCATCACCTTTGAGGCAGATTACATTCAATTTGCCATCTTCACGGCCAATTTTAAGTTCCAATATGATGGTTTTATCAAACCAGTGATATATATGTTAACCACACATTTGGATACAGTTTTGTAATCTCTGAGACAGATCCTGGAATCAGATTTGCTGAAAATCCCTCGAGAGTCTGGAAGCACATTATTAAGGTGATCAAAAAGGCATCAATTTCACACCAGTAAAGTCTGCATGGTCACTTGGTTGTTCTAAATATCATGTGTAGATGTGTGTGATATGTATGTATGTATATACATTATTAAGATACTTGGCAGTCTGATAGCTACATTATATAGAGACTAAAATGTCACAACACACAGAGCACACAGTTATAGGTTACAATTACAAGATCACAATAGGTCTCCAGACTGCACATTAAGATGGCTCAGTGTTGCCTACAGGCTGACACTGACCCAACACAGTGTGTAGTCTGTGACGGGTGTACATGTACATGTATATATGAGATATCCGTTTCCTCTACATCACAGCATAACGCACACTTGCTTTGTTAATTCACACTCGCATGTGTGTGTGTGTATATATAATATATATATATATATAGTCATCGTCATAGGAAATTTTACTCGGCTGCAGGCAGGTTGTACACTGCAGGTCCAGGTACGTCATTGGCATCGACTGGCATCACAGGTGTTACCATGTTGCGCTCAGGGGTATGTGGACGCGAGGAAGACTGAACAGCAGATCCTCCGAGACCTACAGAGACCTCATTACGACTGGAGTTTCTGGAAACGGGACGCTCCTCTTCCTTTTCCTTTCTAGGTGTGAGAGAACCTCCGTTGGAGAATGGGCGCTCGTTTTCTATGGACCTGGATGTGCTTCCTTCGGAGGATGGGCGAGAATTTCTCTGAGCTTCTGGATCGACGAATGTAGAGTCTGGTCCTGACTGCAGAGTGAATCCTGTAGGATCTCTGTGATAGGACATGGGTCGTACAGTTCCACTGTTGGGACTGTAGCCGTCTTGTGGCTCGACCTTTTTACCTTTGCCCCTGAAATATTAATAATTGTTATATAATATTCTTATTATTAATTTAAGAACAATTCCTTTTTCCTTCAAATGTTTTCATAAAATAATGGATATAATAATTATTATTAAAACCTTTGAAGAAAATATGCTTCAAGTATTAATTAGAAAATAATAAGCTTGAAATGATACAAAAACCAAAACATATCTCTACATGTACATCTGAGACTGTTTCTTTTTGGTCATGCCATGAATAAGGTGAAGCAAACATATAACAAGCAAAACAAAAACTATAACTCACTTCAGCACGACCAGAACAACAACCGCCACTACAACAATGACCACGATAATGGGCAGCACTGTGCCTAGGATGATGGCCCAAGTCATGTCAGTGGCAGTGGAGACAGGAAGAGCCTGGGTGGTGTTTGATGCTGCTGTCGTCTGCAACAGAAGATGAAAAAATGAATGAAGAATTCCTCAGTGAGAATTTAATTTGAAACAAATGCAGATGTAATATTGGAGAGGATAAATATAAGATCTTTTCTCCTATATTAATTTCAAATCGCTTCAGACAAAAACAAATAATCTATAGTCATGTAATGTTACCAAATTTCAAAAACTATTATCAAACATGGTATTATTTAAATATAAATGATAAATTAACTGTTAATTAATAAATTAGTTAATTTACTTATTCATTTTTATAAGTATATTATGATATATCTACATAATATATTTATTCATATTTAGAGGATTGATTGATGGGTGTTGTATTACACAATCAGTGACTTTGACTGAGGTTGACATAATTTAATTATTATTACTTTCACTCATTCATTAATTAAAATATATATAATAAAATGTCTTACCGGTGCCATGGTGGTTTGGTCCGCAGGTGTCACCACACCTAAGGTGATGTTTGCAGACGGGTAAGCTGATGCCACCACAGAGACAATGGAAGAAGACCTAAAATGTTGCGAATAATTTTATTGCTATTGTGTGCATGCACCAGAAGTTGAAAATAAAGCCAGTGAATGGTCAATACACGTTTGTAGTTTGTGCGTTTTTGGTGTAAATTATACCACTATATTATTTTCTCCTCAAGCAATAGACCCCACGTTGAAAGCAACAGTTGGTACTTTGATTCTCATCTCATTAGAAAAACTTGTTAGTAACATTATTACCCTTATGAAAAAGTCCTATAGGATCCTATACGATCCATTAAGATTCTATAGGAAATTGGCCCAATTTCCTATAGGATCTTATAGGATCCTATAAGACTTTTTCTTAGGGTAGTACCATTAACGTTGATGTTTTGTCGATTGCTGTGGCACAGAAATTAAAATATACATACACTGCGCTGTTCAGCACTATGGACTGGAAGGTGGACTGGTCAATAACAAACTCTGAGGATGGGTCAAAGTTCACTGAAAAGAGAAATTATAGAATATCAACATCGCTGCAACCAATATTCACCTTTACTTAAAATTATATTGTAAGTTCCCTGGCTTTGGTCAAAATTCATAGAGATGGCATATAACTAAAATGTGGGGTAAAACTTGAAATTTATCATTGTGATAATTGTAATTGAATCTAATGATTAAATATAAACAGAAAGATAACCATGACTGTGCATACATGAAACAGGCCTATTATAAGTACCCTAAAGCAAATGAATGAAATGAAATGAATGAAAAATACATATATAACTCCAGGAATATTTATGTGAACAAGGCTCTACATGTACCTACATCTTTTATTCCTTTCCATAAGTATAATGTTGCCAGTACCCTATATTTTAACTGTACCATGAAAAATTCTGAACTGTTTTATTAACCTGTGTTTAAGTTCACAGATGGCAGCACCAGCAATTCCCCACTTACCGGCTCTCTTCTTCCTTCCACTGACTACTACAGACGTTGAGGCATTGCCCGCAGCACAAAGGTCATTGTCCTTAGGTGATTTGGCCACAATCAGAAGGTCTGTCAACGTGGAATCCAGTGGATTGACACGAGGATAATCGCCTCCAATCTGTACGTAGGTGTTGTTGGTGAAGGTCAAGGTGATATTGTCACTGATGATACTGGAAAATATTTCATTGGACATATTAAGTTGTTGTTAAGGTCAGATGGGTTGTATAAATTTATCGCTTCTGATATTACATATTATATATATTGTATTGTACAGAACAATTTAGTCTGTTCATGAAATGCACAGATTGAATGTTTAACTGATTTCTTTAAAGTAACAATTTAATTGGAATAGAAAATACAACCATGCAAGTACAAAATTGTAATTGTAACATATAAAGCTTTGTGACACATCAATCATCAGATTATATGTCCACTTCGGTGAATATAAGAAATTTTTTAAGCTGTCACGTATGAATTATACTCACAGAGACCCACTGTTGGGGCAACAAGTGCTGTACTCAGATGGTTGTTTACAGTGGTCATTCAGGGCTCCAACAATGACATTAACAATATGGTCCTTGATGGCTGTCACCTGTGAAAATGGTTTGTATGTGACATACGTAAATAAGTGTTATCGCATTTCATAGTGTACCCCATACAATACATTTGATTAAATTATGTACACTACGATATCAAAACAAAACATATTTGAAACACAACTATTTGTCAGAAACATTACTGGTTTATTCCATTCTTCAAATTATTACCAATATTTACCAATAAATCACCTAACTAGGATACCAAAACAAACTTGAAACAATTATCTGAAGCATTACTGATTGATTCCACTTTTCAAATTATTATCAGCTGGTCATATATTAATCAATAAACCTATATTGTGTGTTTGTCATCAAAGCCTTTAAAATTCTTATACTACTCAGGGTAGGGGATATATAATTATTTAAATCATGTTGGGGTAGAAAATACTAGCATGCCATACCTGATCCACTGTGACTCCGCCCAGAGACACAATGACACCATAGTTGTTCTCTGTTTCACTCACTGGAAACAAAATGCAAAAGCAAGTTTTTCAGATTGGATGAACTAGCACCTTATCAATGTCACAATGCCAAAAAAAAGCAATGGAGATGCAATCTTTCAAACTGATTATATAGCCAATATTAGATTACAATGAAAATGCAGAGAGAAAAAGCCTCAACAAAAAGTTGTTTCAAACCTAAATATCATTGCCCCATATCTCTTTTCCACTCAGAAAAATATGCTTACATATTATTCAGTATTTCAGGCCTTAAACTCTCGTCACACAATAATTTCAATTTATAAACAAAAGACACTGTTAGAAAAAAATAAGACTTACATGGGCAGTACTCAGTGTTGCAAGTCTGAGTCTCTGTGACGTTTCCAGAGCAAGGCAAGCCATTGCCAACCTGTGTTGGGTTTGTACAGGAACGGTTCCTCCATTGGGTTCCACCAGCACAGGTTACTGTACAAGTAGACCAGTTGCCCCAGGCTGAGAATCCTCCATCACGATCTGTTCAGAATTTAAAATATACTTGTCACACAGGTTATATCGCCATGTTATTTTTTTGTTCAAAAGCTGATATGACTGAGATAAGAGACTTCTATTGATAAATTGCACCAGAACATTTCAAAACAAGCATTGTGAAATTTTAATTCCCAACAGGTAAAAAATGCAGTTGATAGATATGCAATATGAAAATTTGAGAGCATTATTTGATTTTTTTTCTAATTTCCTACCTTTGCATTCCACTCCACTTGCACTGAGTTTGTATCCATTTGTACATGAGCATTGATAGCCACCGATCAAGTTGAGGCATTGAATGTTACTGCCAATACATGGGTTGCTCTCTGTACACTCATCCTTGTCTGAAATAATTAAAAAATTTAATTACCTAGTAAATACCTATTTTTATTCCATGTAAAGAAATATTAAGTACTGTAACGACAATAACAATATAACAATAATCTAACACAGAAAATTAAGTAAAACATTTAAGTTTATTTATATATTCTATATGTCAAAAGACAGAAAATATGTAGTGATGGTACTGCAAGACTCCGTGCTCTTGTATAATATGCTACCACAATGAACTATATTGTAAACATTGTATTATATTTACCAATACAAGTCTTTCCATCAGTGTCCAGTTTGTAGAAATCATTCTGGCACAAGCAGGTGTCCACACCACTGACCACTGCACACAGGTCACTACAGCCATGACCAGCAGAGCAGGTGGTCTTCACTGGAATCAAATATAATTTTTTAAACAATTAAATGAAAATGTCTCTTTTTGTTCATCATAATAATTGTACCTTGTGTCTTAAATCTTGCACAGGTTAAGATCCAAATAATATTTTGTTTAGTATATTACAATAAATGAACAATCAGAATTCAAACAGATATTGAACATGTCAAAAGAATTTTAAATATAATTAGTTTTAATTAAATAGCAAACCCTACAGACAAACAAAATAATAATGTCGGTTTTTGCTTTTTCAATGCTGTATTTCAGCTTATTTACAGCTTACAGTTATTTTTTGGATAAAAAGCACAACTCTTCCTCCTTTACAACTAACAAATCCGAAGCTGACCTCAGTGATTTTTACGACAATTTTTATGTTAATTTTGACTTACGTGTGCAGTTCTTCTGGTCCGCGGCCAGGACAAATCCTGACTGGCAGTCACAGCGGAAAGTGCCAGCAACGTTGACACACAGCTGGGTACAATCATGTTGTGGGTTAGAGGCATCACATTCATTGATGTCTGAAATAAAGAGATAATAATAATAATAATGATAGTAATAATAATAATAATAGTTAAAATAATTATTACTAATAAAGCAATATTATTCAATCTATTTAAGAATTATAATGGGTGTTACAATAATGACTTGTATAAAAAGATACAATAGTTATATAAATGCAAAAGACATCAAAATACATTTTAAAGAATAATAATTATTATCATTATATTATTTTACTAAATGTGAAACTACTCATGACTCGTGCTATTTGCACATTTATAAAACTAAAGAGACAACATACCATTTGGTCATAATACCATTGGTGTAAATTGAAACTGAACATCATCTACAACTAGAACGCCAACTATTTCACGTAATTTATTCATTTTTTGTGCAATATTAGCACAATTAATGCAGGAAACTCCAGACATAACACTAAAAGTGTGTCAACAAAGTCAAGGTCACTTACCATCGCAGAGATGTCTATCATCTGCCAAGAGATATCCAGTACGGCAGCTGCAGTTGTAGGTGCCTGGATAATTGTGACACTGACCACGCCCACGAATGACATCACAGCCACCAGAATCAGACGAAGTGCATTCATCAATGTCAGCACAGCTCACGCCATCGCCAGTGTATCCAGCGATACAAGCGCAAGTGTACGCGCCCTGCGTGTTGGTACAGCTACCCAGGGTAGCATGACAGGCATGGCTGCCCTCCGAGCACTCATCAATGTCTGCAAAATAAAAACGGTACTAAGAAATTGCTATTGTTAATAATATACTAGGCAAGAAAAATAAAAGAAAAATGCTAGTGGGCCATTTTTGTATAAAGCCTGAGTATGTTGATGGTCACTTTTGTCTAAATATCAATTAAGTCCAATATGTAAATGTATACCCATGTAATTTCCACACAGTTAAAAAAAGCCTTTCCAAGGTAATGCAAAGAGATGGTCTCGTTTATCACAAAATTAAAAGCCAATGCAAAAATTAAAAAAAACAGCAAAAATTTACAATTCTATTCTTTAACTTACCAACACAAGTCCCTGCCACCATTCTGTACCCAGCAACGCAGTCACAGCGATAACCAGGAGCCTCGTTGACGCAGACAGAGTTAGCAGAACAGGTGGCTGTCATAGCTGAACACTCATCAATATCTGTAATATTTCAATATGTAACAAGTAAGTGTTAAAACATTCATTTATTTATATAATTATAATCTCACATATTTTTCTTTTTATCAATTTTTCTTATTATAATTCATATTTTATGCCTCTGTCTAAACTGATATTTTCAAGACTGCATAGGTAGATTTAACCTGCCTAAAATGTCAAGTAAATTGTGAAACTTGACAAGGACACAATATCAATACCTGGAACTCTTTTATTACACTAAATGGAAACAAAATATATTTTATTAGTATATCAACTACATTTTTCCCTTTTCATTTTCACTCAGTTCTTAGAATAAAATTCAATGTCTCTTATATCTCATTTGACATGAAAACAATTTCTAGTTTTAAAATTCAATCATTATTATTATTATTACCATATCCAGAAAAGGATCAACCCTGAGTGATTAAAACGATTTAATAAATAAATGAATAGATAAGCTTCCACACACTCACAACATCTGCTGATAAGTTTACTGACACTAAACAATTATCATTTACGGGAATACTTACCAATACACTTCTTAGACTCCACCTGTTGGTACTGAGTGGAGTCAATACACTCACAGTGGAAAGTGCCTGGGTCGTTGACGCAGCGGACATTGTCAGATGTCAAACAGGAGTGGGTACTGCTGGAGGCGCACTCATCAATATCTGCAATGTATGTCCAGAAGACGTCAACAATGTAGAACGATTGATTGTATTACCTCAAACAGAGAAAAACTGGACTGAAAGCTGCAATCAATTGTTTAATTTAAAATTAAGATTTAAAATTTAACTTTTTAATTCAACTACTTTTGATTAATCTTGTGTCAAAGTTTAGACCAAATTTTTAAAGGGAGCATTTGGCCCAACAAATAGTTCATTCAGGATAATGCCATCAGTGATACTACAACAAACTTTCTAAGCACTCTCTAAACATACCAAAGATTTAATTTTACCCAACAGCAGTAAATGTTTTTAATGAGTACTATTATACTACTATGTTGCACCTTTTAACCGACAAAACTGTTTATAGAAATTAGACATTTCTCAATAGATCACAAAAAAAATTTAATGTTTAAATGTGATAGTAAATCATTATTCCTTTTCTGCCAGTACACTTACCTGTGCAGTTCTTGCCATCACTGGCCAGGTTGTAGCCTTTAGCACATTGACAGACATCAGTGTTGTTGATCTTGGCACACATGTAAGAGCAGCCATGGCCGCTATCACACTGGTTAGCAGCTAGATATGGATTAAAATATTGAAATTGTAGGAAATATAAACACTATGGGAAGTGAAAATACAAGAGACTCCAAAGTGGACTCCACACAACCTGTTCTTTAATTTAGTGTCCTTTGGAATCTTTTGAAATTATTACCATGAAAATTGCCAAACTGAACAAATGGTCTGTTCACAATTGCTGTTACTGCTGTTCATCTTTAAGGTTGTATCAAATCATGACAAAAAATTATGAAAACTTATGAAACTAATATGAAATTTTTGAAAACAAAAAACTTTCCTGCAGGTTATGCACTAGTTTACTTTTTCAGTTTTTAATTAATTAAGTGTTAAACTTTATTGACTCGGTGTTATTTTAAACTCATACTTACGTTCACAAGTGGTGCCGTCTGCTTTGAGCACAAAGTCTGTGGGGCAGGTACAGATATAACTACCAACAGTGTTATTACAATAGACACTGGAATAACATCCATGGTCTGCTTCCAAAGCACACTCATCATAATCTGGAAATGTGTATGAGAATTGCTTTTTTTTTTAATTTTTATTTCACTATGGTGCAAGATCTATTATTTTCATATAAATTGTACATAAATTGCATTAATTTGAAAAAAAAAAAGAATGGAAATCTTGGAATTGTTGTGATAAAAGAAATTAATTGCCTGACTTCCTGTGGTTGTAAAAAAAAAAACGGGAAAAAATCCACTTTTTAGAATACAAGTGAACTAAAAGAAAAAGTAATGATAAAGAATAACAATTATAATGAATTAATTTTTTAGAATCACTACAGAAAAAAAAGCCACCAAAATTAAAGTCAATAAAAACATTGAATATTAACAATAATTAGATACAGTTTACTAGCATAAGCATAATGAAACATGGAAAAGAAAATGAGCGAGGGATGAAACTGAAACAAATAACATGAATTACAATAACTCACCATCACAACTATATCCATCAGCATTAAGGACGTAGCCATTTCCACAGAAGCAAGAGTAGCTTCCCATGTTGTTGGTGCAGCCCTGGATGCATCCACCCTGGTCAGCACGACTACACTCATTCTCATCTAGAATAGGAGTTATATATATACATGTACATGTAGTTTATATTGTGTGAATATGTTTGTGTTTGTGCATTTGTCTACAGAATCACTTTTCATCTATGTGGTGTGTGTGTGTGTGTGTGTGTGTGTGTGTGTGTGTGTGTGAGAGAGAGAGAGAGAGAGAGAGAAAGAGAGAGAGAGAATCAACAATCTTTAAAGAAAACATAATTTTTACAGTTACGTCAGTTAAAATGTTTCCAATTACCAGCACAGATGAAGCCATCTCCAGTGTAGCCAGTGTTACAGGCACAACTGTAACTGCCAACAGTGTTGTTACAGGATGCATAATTCTTGTCACAATCATTAGTTGTTGCGGAGGCACATTCATCTTTGTCTATAAAAATTATTATATTGTACAAATATGTATATTTAATGTAAATTCTATACTTAAAATATACATGAAATATTAATACATTTTATAACATAATGCAATCTACAAGGAATTGCTTATAAAGTGTAGCTGCAGCACATAGCACGAGGTGCACAACAGAATTTTAATAACCCAATTAATTTAAGTTATAAGCAAAAGTAGATCTTTTAGAAGTTGCATCAATGCTAATTGCAAAATACACCAGCTGCTATTGACTCAACAATTTTGTCATCCAAGCAAAAAATAACTGAATGGCGATCAACTAAGTTTTATATGACTTTGACATTCAACTAACAGTATAGACCTTCTGCAAAAACAAGATGCTCCAAATACAGCAAAAGAGAATTATTATCCATGATCATTCAAAATTCTTGGACACTGCCACATACTAGTCAAGTAAGGTTGGAATATAATTTGTAAATCATCGGGATGAAATATAAGCTGCATGCACTGTGAAAATCACACATACCATCACAAGTGATCCCATCTGCATTCAGGTTGTAGCCACCAGAGCAACTGCAGGTATAACCACCATCGGTGTTGGTGCAGGAGCCTTTTGTAAGATCACAGTTATGTAGGGCGGCGCCACCAGCTGTGGTCTCTGTGCACTCATCCACATCTAAAATAGGGAAGAAAGATTACTGAATCAAAGATATTGCACCTGATAATTTTTTACTTGATTTCAATCATTACTGGATTATCTAAAATAGGAAAAGACCTTATTTTTAAAAATCTGTACTGAACTTTTTAAGAATTGCCAACTCCTATAAACCTATACAAGTTAATCAATCAATCAATCAACAGTACTCAATCACAAATCAATCAAAAATACAACCAACCAACCAATCAACCAACCAACCACCCACTCAACTAACTCAGCCAACCAACCAACCAACCAGCCAATCAAACAATAAACTAATCAATTAATCAACCAAGCACTTTGACAACCAATCAGTCAATAGTTTATTCAAACAATCAATTAATAAAGAATATTCCATACCAATACAAGTTCTCTGGTTCAGATCCAGTTTGTACCCTGAGCTGCAGGAGCAGTTGTATCCTCCAACGATATTGGTACAGGTGGCGACACCTGCTGGCAGACACTGATGGGAGCCCAGACACTCGTTCACATCTGAAACATTTTAATTTTTTGTTGAATATTTTATACTGGTAAAGTCATGGCATTAACATTAATTTTTCTCATCAAGCAAATTTACTGCAAACATGCATGCCTCATTTCAAAAGTCATTTTTTTGATATGAGCATTCTTAAGTAATAATTCTAAAAGTAAAGTTCTAAATAATTTTCAATGTGTTATTGTAATTTTTTAACAAAATTTCCAAAATTTTTCCTTCATTTTGGCATTGCCAAAATTTGGTTACTGTAACTGAGTACTACTTGACACCGATCACGCAAAGACATTTCATTATTAGCTTTATCTTTATCTTCTTCTATTTTAAATACAATTCCCTCATTAAAACACAATAAACTGACCAATGCACTTCATGTCACTGTCCAGGGCATAGTTATCTGGGCAGGAACAAGTGGGCACCCCACTGATGACCGCACAGGTAGGGTTGACCACTCCAGCATTACTACAGGTGGTTGCCTCAGAGCTAGAACACTGCTGCTCAGCTAGATAATGTACAGAAATATGTATAAACATAATGTGATATTGTGCTTCAAATATCTTAAATACACAGCATGGTTTTGCATGTTAATAACATACATTTGCCACCACTACAAATGCGTTTACGAACATTTGTTTAAAAATTGTATGTTTTTGAATGTTTATGATATATGTGTGACACCCTTATAAATTTTCTTTACAAAATGTTTAAAAAAGGCAAAAAAGTCATTTGTAAATGGTAATTTAAGGCAATATCAGTTTGGCTACAGTTTGTTTCTAAAATGTGTGTATAGTTGTTATAATGAGAACAGCTAGACTACTTTCATATGCTGTATAATAATAATAATAATAATAATAATAATAATAATAATAATAATAATAAGGAATATTTACGTAGACAGGAGACATAATCAGCAGGGTTAAGTCTGTATCCTGTGGTACAGTTACATGTATAAGTTGCCATGCCATCGGTACATAACTGTTCACAATTGTTATCACCATCACATTCATTGATTTCTGCAAATAACATAAAAACCATGTAGATAAGTGATAAAACACTGTGCAATTAAAATGATAATTCAAAGAAGCTGTATTTAAAGAGAATCATGTGGATTTTGAGTTGATATGAGCCTAGGATATGCTGTTACTGTTATCACCCCCTTCCTGCAAGGAAGGATATAATTTTTCTTTAATTTGATAATTCATACTCAAAATCATATCCAGCAGGAATTTTTACTGTTTTAAAATTATTTTATAAGATTTTAAAGTAATTATTTTAATAATATCATAATTTCTGACACAGAAAATTTGAAACAAGTGAGAAGGAGGAGAGAGAGGTTTTGACCTACAGTGCAGATACTTCTTGAGAGAGAGAGAGAGAGAGAGAGAGAGAGAGAGAGAGAGAGAGAGAGAGAGAGATTTTGACCAGATAACCTACCATCACAGGCAGAGGTGAGAGGATTCAGTTGGTATCCAAGGGCACAGCTACAGGAGTAGCTTCCAGCAGAGTTCTGACACTGTGCATTTGTCACACAGGGATTGGAGGAACACTCATTGATGTCTGAAATTTGAGAATATTTCAAAAACAATGACCTATTATACAAAATATTTGAAATTCAAACATTTTAATTTGATCCATTTTGAAAAAAAATACTTCAACAGAAGCTATTTCCCCACAATAACAGCAGTTTTCAAATTCTAAGAAAAATGTTTTTCATGGGCTATTGTGACATGGTGGTAACTCTATATGAGGGAGGGGAAATAGAGGGCATTTTAATTTAAATACAATACCTTAACAGCCAGATTTTAAGATAAACCAAGAAGATTTTCATCTCCAAAATAACATGTATTTCTCATACCTTGACACTCTCCTGTCTTGCCAGTTCCAGCATACCCAGTGGCACATGTACACACAAATGAACCAGCAGTGTTGTTACAAGCTGCGTTGGTGTCACAGTCATGGGTGCCACGGCTACATTCATCCACATCTGAAAAGAATAAGACAGAAAATTAGCAAAATCTAATTTCCACTTAAACAAGCTGCATAAGATCAAGCAGTTTAGTTGTCCAAAGATGAAATATATATACTTACATGGGAAATTATTCAAAAACAACTGCTGGAATTAACTGCAACCCTTCTTGTTCAATCAAAAGAGTAACTTTATAAAAATCAATTTTTAAATAGTCCAAACCAATCTAATTATCATTTGCCTGAGCAGATCAATCAAATGTGGCAGATAAGGGGCAGACGTCAATACGTACCAATACAGGTGGTGAGGTCTGGGCCAAGCAGGTACCCTGTGTTACAAGAACACTGGTAACTTCCTGCCAAATTGGCGCAGTTCTGAGAGCAGGGGGACGGGTCATTCTGACACTCATCTTCATCTGGAGAGCAAAATGATAAAATTTGTATGAGTTCAAAATACAAGTTACAGAAATGAGACAAATGCCATATAAAAAGGATCCTCAGCAATAGCAACAGTAGTCATGACAATGATCAGAAACATCTCTCAATCTTATTTTAACTCATAAATATCTGTATACAATAACAAAAAAGTATTACACCAATGAAAAAAAATCCAACCTACCAGCGCAGGCGGTACCATCCCCAATAAGCCCCAGGGGACAAGTGCCACAGGTAAAGCCAGTCTGAGGAGCTGGTTTGTCCTCACATGCCACACCTGTGAAACACGGGGTGTCTGCACACCCATCGATGTCTGTCTGACACTGAGCGCCCTCGTAGCCGCTCTGACACTGACAGGGAACGGTGACGAAGTTATCTGTAGAGGTTATGACATCATATTTGCATGTGCCGCCATTCTGGATTTAAGAAAAAGGAATTTGCATTTACTTATATTTTGGGGGTGTATAGAAGGGACAAAGGCATTAAATACAAATTTCAGTTCCACATAGAAATTATTTGTTAACAATGTCATTTTGTTTTTATATATAAGTTACACATATCATTTTTGAAAGACTACTTTTCTGTACAAAAAAAAAAAAGAAAGTTTCCAGAAAACAAAATCAAGATATAGTAACTCTTTAAATTTTTGCACGTTACGGAAAAGAACCATTCTATTCATAAAATTTATAGTGGTTTAAAGCCAATTTTACTTTGACAAAATTATGCGACAATGTATACAAACATGACATTCACCTGACAGCTACAGAAATGCACTTTGGCAACAACAGAAGAAGATGCCTTGCCATCGCTGGCAGTGACTTTGACGGTATCGTTACTGGTGAGGTTAGAAGGTACAGAGCTCCATGATAGCACACCAGTGGCAGAATCGATGGAACAACCTGTTAAATAAATTAACAAATAAATAGAAAATAAATAAAATCAAGTATTTTATAAATTATGTGTTTTTTTCTGCACTTTAATAAAATTTATTTACAGTAACTGTTAACAACTCCAGATCTCAGAATTAATTGGGAAAAAGAACATCAAGTCAAAATTAATAAAAAAAAATTGTTGATAATAATGATTATTACTATTATTATTATTATAATTATTATTATTATTATTATTATTATTACCCTCTGGTGTGGGGCTGGCCAGACTGAAGGTGACGGTGTCGCCACTGTTGGGGTCCGAGGCACCAAAGGTTACGTCAGCCATATTTTCGCCTGCTCTCACTTGAAGAATGGTGTTATTACTGGTGAAGGTTGGAGGGAAGTTGTCTGCAAAGATTGTAAATATTAAGGCTCTATTCCCATAGATTTTAGATCGATCTATCCCTGCAGGTAGTCTCACTAGATTACTTTCAGATAATCCGACTTAAATGTCCGTCCCGCCTACTACAAGCTGTAAGGGGGTAATTAACTTTCGTGTCCGCCCCGCTGACAGCTATTTAGCGTGAACCCCCAGGGAGTTAGGTTGATCTAAAGTAGGTCGATCTAATCTATGGAAATGGGGTGTAATATAATAATGGAATGAGTTGATTTATAAATATATGATTCTACAAACTGACATTCTTGGAAATCATAACCAACTTAATTGGCATAAGTAATAACAAAGGAAAGTTCGTGGGATGTCCGAAATATGAAAATTGAACAAATCAAAATATAAGCAAAATATTTAAAAGTAAGTATAAAACTAACTCTGGGCGGCTTGCTCTGCTGCCAATTGTTGCTGTGAGGCAGAGGTGGCAGCACCAACATCTTCATTTCCAGTGAGGGCAATGTCGAAGACGCACTCTCTGTTCAAGTTGTTAATTCCACCACAAGTGGCGATGGCTGAATCTCGAGTGGCATTGTCAGAGAACATGGTATCCAAGTTGAAGAATCTGAAATTTATAATCATGAATGAGAAAATCACCATTCAGCTTATAAAAATCACCTTTGATAACTAAAAACCAATCAATCACTTCACTTCACTTAAAAATTAGGTTTATATTTCAAGTCCCCTTTAAATATTCAACTTGAAAGTTTTCACATCACTTACAGTGGTACAAAGGTGTAGTTGCCGTAGTCACTAGCATTGTAAGCGCTGAGATCATCATATGAGAACAATGACAGTGTTGGGTCAATTGCCCCTGAAATAATGAAAATAAATTCTAATGTTAAACAAATCGATTCAAAATATATACGATATTTTACAATGAATAAACTTGATTTTCTATAAGAGATGCCATTAGTAACAAAAATGTTCATAACTGAAAATAGTTCGGCAACTGAACAAAACTGGTTGGCTAAAAAGGTTTTTTTCAGGTTGTAATTGAAAAAAAAATTATTTACTCACATTGCTGGCCCCAGTAGAATACTTGTTCCTCAGTGGAGTTGATGTGGATTGTTGTACCATTGGGATAAGCATATTCATCGTTCTTATCCCCATTGAAGTTACCCATCAGGCCTGAAAGAGTATACATGTATGTACTTATATAACACGTATCAGTTTTCAGGAAAATATATGGCATGTGTCAAATGTATAAATTATGCATTATGTATTTTTTAAAACATGTATTGGGAATTGTTAGTTGCCCCCAAAAAATGGAACATTCTCAATTGTGCAAGTTTTCCTTAATTATCATAATTTCTGAAATACTGCATTGAGAATTGAAAGCAGAAGTATACACAATGAAAAACACTAATCACTTTGAAAACTCATAGGTTGTTATAAATCATACTTACACATTTTCAACTGTGCACTAAGTTATCAGGGAAATGACCAATTTACAATTCAGTTTTCACATCAAACATACCCGTCAGAGTAGAGTTCCACGCTGCAGGTGAGACAACGGAGACGGAGGTCATGTTCAGGGAAGCCTCCACTTTGATTTCTATCTCCGTTGAGAACACCATAGTGTAGCGTCCATTCAGCTCTGAGATGACCACTTTGTTAAAGGCCTGTCCATTTCCACTGAATGAGCCATTCTGGAGTATCTTGTTCACGAGGACATCTATGGGAAAATTGTTTCAAGAATTATTGTAAGTAGTCACGAAAATATATAAAAATAACATATATTAATTTCTTTGTTTTTAAAGCACAGCCAGAAACAGAGTGTCATCTTGGCATTAGCAATGTTTTTATCGTCAAAAAATGGCTTAGACTGAATATGTCTGGGCTAAGAAGCATTAAGGCACAATTTATTTATAAAATGTTTTGTTTCTAGTCAATATTTCACGGCAAGTCCAAATCCAGTCTTTGCAATACTCTCTCCTTATATAATTGCACAGCAACAAGAGCATATAGACATATAAAATGGTCTAACCATTGGAGCAAAAACCAAAATTTTCTTAAAGTTTATTTAGCTAATGCATGGTGTCAAAATCTGTGATCTAGGAGCAACAGTACTTACCCACACCATTCCCAGTAGCATTCAGCCTGAACTCTACAATATCACTGTTAGAGCTCCCTGGGACCACCTGCTGTGCCGCAAACGACGTGAACACAGTGGCACGTGGTGGTGGGGTGGTGGTGTACGCAGGCGCCGTGCGGCCTTGCAGCGTGAAGTGGTTGCCACTGATCAGGGTGTACTCTCCCCAGCCATTGAAGGAGTATTGGTGGCCATCCAGGGTGGTGATGTGAGGGTCACCAGCTGACAGAGCTGTACAGGAAATAATAATAATAATAATAATAATAATAATAATAATAATAAGCAGCAGCAGCATCACCATCAGCATTATAATAATGAAATATTGATGGTAATAATTTTTTAAAAAATGTTTATTACTATAATTGTTCCATTAATTTATTTATATATAGGCTAAATTTTTTTCATCATCAAATGATATGCTAAGTGACAATATGTTTTGAAACTTCAAATGAGAACTTTATGAACACTGGCCAATTCATTCCAAGACTAATTTTCACTGGCAAAAAAAAAAAAAAAATTACCAAGAACCTGGCTGTACCAGCATGTACATGCATGCACACTGGGACAAAAACATATAAAATAAACTATACATATACTAATATACTGGTACCTACCAATAGAGGCAGCAAAGAAGAAGAGGGAACTGGACACTGGTCTTCTTTCAATGTAGTCAAAGCAGTGGACCCAGCTATTCCAACAACAGTTCTGGAATGCCTTTATCTCCTTCCTACCACGAGCACTGGTAGCACTAAATCTTCTAAAGATGTTCATGCCGTCCAATAGGAACCAATCATCCACACGGGATCCGAGGAAATCGTAACAACAGCGTGGAGAGCGTGCCTCGTCGCCTGATCCCATTGGCATGCGTCTTATGTAGCACGTGGCGATCCAGTTGCTACGGAACTCTATCCAGCTAGAAGACAGTTGGTCCAAGAAAGCCGGACACTTCCCAGTCTCCTCTGTAAGAAATGGCAGCCATTATATACCAGCAGATACTATTAAGCACAATTTTGTTCGAGTCAAAACTTGAAGATGAGGAACTTAATTTGCTCTCCAAAGGTGCAATGTTTCAAATTAAAGTTATATACCATATAATAATAATAATAATAATAATAATAATAATAATTTTTTCCATTCCATATTCATAAAAATCTTGATGCACTTCATATAATCTCTAAAATTAAAACAATTACAAACAACCAAATGACACTGACAATAAAAATACTTAGAGGCAGTGATTCAGTCTCACCTTGATCAAGCTTTCCTTTAATACTGTCATACAGTATGTCCTCCTGGATCCAATCATAACAAGCTTTTCCAGGATTCTCAAAGTCATCTGGGTTATCACTGAGAGCATAGTCAAAGACTCCCGCCCTCGTGCCAACTTCATTGTCAATTCTCTCCATGTGGGCCTTGTCCGCCACACTGGCATAGGAGTATTGGTACTCCTCGGCCTTCCACACAAATGGCGACCAGGTGTTGACCAGGTAGCCCACTCGGCCAGGGAAGTTAGGCTGAAGATTAACACAAATGAGTTATTAAATTTTAATTTCAAAATTAAACTAGAGAGCACTTCAAAAGTACAAACCTCCAACAAAGAAAAAAAGCATTAATTAAAAACAAGTCTTTTAAAATTAGATTTCAAAATTGAACTCGAGCGCCAAAGAAAACATGCAATAAATACTGTTTTATAAATATTAGAAGATCTGCATTCAGCAGAAATTGTAATCACATCTTCTCCCCTCTAAATAAATGTGACAGTCTATCCTGAAATATTCCATTAAAAGTTGTGAAAAATCTTTTCAAAACACAGCCTGTTGATCTCAATTCAATTTTCACCAGTAGCTAGCTTTAAAAGCAGCCAATTTCTCCCATTAACTCACCGAGTTAGCAGCGTTCAGGGTCAGGTTCCATTTCATACCCCTGTCATCATAAACATAACGGACATAGGTATTCTTGTAGTCTGTCACAATGATAGCTTGGAATGTTACTTCCTGAAAAAGAAAACCAAAATGTGCTAATTAATACATTAACTGGTACCTGGAATGTGCTTTTTCAAAACATTTACAAAATCTAACCCAATATGTGCCAATACAGTTACCTGGAATGTGCTTTTTCAAGACATTTACAAAATCTGTGCCCTAAAACATTTTAGCCTGCTGGCCATTAAAGTTGACAAATCTACTGGCCTCAAGCAGAAACAGCACACAAAGTCAAAGCATTTGCTGCCTGGATCTCCAAAAGTTTACCTGAGTATGAATTATCATCACAAATTTTGTATATAGGCAGATGGATGGATAGATGGGTGAAGAATGAGAGAGAGAGAGAGAGAGAGAGAGGGGGGGGGGCAGAGTTAACCGAGGCATCTTTCTCACCTGCCACTTGTTAATCTTATGCTGCATCTTGTTCCAGGTGACCACAAACATGTATTCTCCACTGAAGGAGCTCAAATTATGAGCGGCCTTCATCTGAAGAGAAGCCGCTTTCAGAAAATCTGCATCTCTGCTGTTATCTAGACCGTACTCTTTGTAGTAGATACCACGCCCATCCTACAGGTGTGATAAAAATACTTTAATTTATATTCTTTATCCAAAGATACAAATTTCATCTCTGCTAAAAATATAAATATATTCAAAGTATGTTGTTTAATTCTCATGCCAAAAAAAAAAAAAAACAGATGCAAAATTTTTTGAGATGGAAAAATTTATAGAATCCAAAATGGTCCTCAACAAACATGATCAAGCAGACACATAAGTGTGGGTGATTATCAAAACTGAATTAAATATCTTGGAAATCCGTGATTCTACGGATAGAGCTCATGGCCAAATAACTGACATGCATAGTAACTAATACTTACTCTATCGTTCTCCATATGCATGTTAACCCAATAAGGACCAATGCCTGCAACCTCTCTAAAGTCCAATCCAAAATATGCCTGTCTCAGTGGGAATTTGGTGGGGTTACGGAAGGCTTTCTGAAGCTTGGTGCTGTCAGCCTCGGCCTCCCAAATTTCCACATCTGTCACCATGATGACTCCGTGTTGGACAAACTGGAAAATGATGAAAAAAAAGGGATGATTTTGGAGATTTTTAAGGCATTAAAAGTGGATCCAAACCAAATTTTTTTTAATTTAGGCAGTGAACAAGAAATGCAAAAATTTACAAAAGCCAACAAACTGAACAGAGACAAAATATAAAAAAGTCGACAGGGATGAAAAAATTGCCATCTTTATCATTCTTATTATGATCATAATTTGTTCATTTATTTATTTATTCATTTATTTATTTTTGAAGGTGAAGGAAGTGGGTACATCCTAACTACATATAACACGTGCTAAAACACTTCGAATATTTAATTTCAAGAACTCACATAGAGGGAAGGATGAATCTGTTGTCCGTACAGTGGTATGCCATACTTGGGGAAGAAGAATTGGGATATCACAGATACATTGCTGCCTGCAAATGGCACCTTATGATGGTTCTCAAATGGAATCAGTCTCTTTTCTGTGGAGAAAAAATTATCAGTGAAACAAGGCTTGAATTATACTTTTCATTTAAGTTTTTGTTAGTCATGAAAATAAATGTTCTGACAAAGTAACTGCATGGGTGGATCTTACTTTTTTTTGTTACAAAGTTTCAATCAAGTAATCTTAAAAAAATGAAAAAAGTGTGCATGTGTGTGTGAGCCTGCATATTTGAGTACTCGTGTATGCATTTTTTTCATTGCATGTCATAAATCTTGATAAAAGTTTTAGGGGACTTCTACCTACATCCCCTTTTTCACAATTCAAACCCCCAAAAAGTAGTTTACTATGCTTCAAAAGAATACTTACCAATACATGTGCCTATGGTACCATTTCCCCTGTAGGGGGCGACACAGCTGCATCTGAATCCACCCGGGCGATTGATACACTTGGCTCTACCATTGACATCACAATTGTGCAGTCCAAGAGCACACTCATCAATATCTTTACATTTACGCGTAGCATTTTTGTCCCTCACAAAACCGTCAGCACAGTAGCAGAGGTAAGTTCCCTCCAAGTTGACGCATTCAGCGACACTAGGAAGTAGTTTGGTGGAGCCACCAGGTTCTCTGCAGTCGCTGATGGGGAACTGGGTGATGTCACATTCGTCAGTGTCTAAAAGATAAATATGGGTAAGGGTGAAAGAACAAAATAATATGGTAAAAGAAGTTTGACATAATATCATGTCTCTAGTGTGCAGATTGTAAAATACCACTTTGGGTATTTTATAATTGATATAAACAATTAATTAAAATAATATTCTTATCCTAAGATAAGCTTAGAAGGGGGCAGTCAATAGACATTCGGGAATGATCGTGACCGGGGCACTTGGCACGAGATAAAATTTAGAAATGCCTTTGAAGGCTAGGGTGGATAATGATGATCCAGGAAACACGGTGACTGAGTTGGGGCAAAACCTGAGACAAAAGGACTGAGCTCAGTCAAGTGTTATTTCTTCCTGGTTATTAAAATTCCCGAATGATCTATAAAGGCTGCCCTGTTTTAAGGTTATGATATATCGTATTTTGGCTCTGGCAATATCATTATACATTTTGGACTGACAGTTACTATGTAGAAGAAACCTCTGTATATTTTCCAAAGACAGTATTAAATTTCCATTTGCGTCAAATGAGAATCTTGTTTGTTTTATTGGATCAGCTGGGCGCACAACACTAAGGCCCAAGAACCGCGCGTTATCTAACATGACATTATTTTAACGTAAAGTCTGACTGACGAAGTCTGGGACTTAACAAGATGGTTTAAAAGGTTAACTACTCATTTCTTGATCATGCCCACTGATTAAAGCAGACTCATAAAAAGAAGGCACTTTTTACTAAGAGAATTTTAAATCATCTGTAAAGCACTTCTTGGTATTTTCTTCCCAATGTGCAGAGATTAATTTCAAGTTAAACACACATATAAAAAAAAGGTTTGGTAACTCATTTTCAAGGCAGTAACTGAAGATACATACCAACACACTGGTTTTGGATCTCATTTCCATTGTCATCCACAGGGTGCTGGTAGCCACTGGCACATGCACATTTGTACCTGCCCGTGGTATCTACGACAGCGCACGTGTGGAGCGTGCCGCATGGCTGGAGGGAGCATGGATCAAATGCAGCTATAAATAAAATCAAAAACTATATAATGTTTGAAAAGCTTTACTAGTGTTATTAAAAACTGCAATGGCTTCTACTGCAAGGAATACGTAATATATAAAACTGGCGTTAAAGAATTTGTCATAAAAAATCAAATGTTAAAAGTAATAAGCTACAAGAACTTGCAATGATAGCAGATGAAAAGTAAGTGTAGCTCTTTTAAATCAAAACAAAGAACTGTCTAAAACTATCATTTTGGCCATCAAAAAGATAAACCACAAAGAAAGAACGGGGTAAGATTTATTAAACCTAAACAATATCCTTTAATGAATGTACATAAACTTCAAATTTTAACATAATTACAAGAATAAGTGAAATTCACCATTGACATTACAACAGTGACTTTAAAATCAGAAACTTATAACTCAAAGAAACTGGATATTATAAACTACAATTTAGTCAATAGTTTCTGAGAGGGAATACCATGTGTTGCTGATGAAGAAGACTGCTTAATTGCAAAGAAAAATAGATTAAATTATTTTATCTATATTAAGGTTTCATGTACACTGAATGCTTTTAAAGAATACAAGCACACAGAAAAACCAAAGCCTCCTCACCAACACAGGGTTCAAGGTTGCAGTTTGTGACCTCCTTCGATGGTCCGCGGTTGTAGCCTTCGCAATGGGACACAGGGCGATCTGCACCAGATATATCAGTGCATGTGCGTACACGCGTGCGTACGGCTCCTGCACCACACTCCTCTGAGCACGAACCCCAGGCTCCCCAAGCTTGATAAAATGGTTCCACTGAAATGGTGTCAAAATATTTGTATCACATGCCCCTAATATACTTTATAATTAGTAAAATTGTTGAATTAGTTTGTTTCTGTTTTATATCAGAAATTAAACTTTTGATAACTCAAAAACAACTAATACCAGATACATGTGTGTGACAATTTGGGATATTTTTGAATACAGAGTCTCAAATTGATACATACAATAATGCACTAGCTTTTACTGTACTTTTCAATGAAAGTGCAGGCATGGGTAAATATTTATATAAGCTAGTATACTTCTAAGTATACTTTACTAAGTATATTATATTCCTAACATTTTTTGAAGACTATTATATTTTACGAACCGCATGACTCTTTAATATTATATTTTACGAACCGCATGACTCTTTAACTTACATGTAGTGATAACTTATAGGAATGAAGGGAAAAAAGTTATGCCACCTAGTGATGGCAATTATACTTACAGACTTCACAGTAATCTCCAGTTGTGAGGTTTTTACAGGCACAGTAATAGTCCTCTATTAAATCCACACAGGTTCCATTGTTTTGACACTGAACACCAGCACAGTCATCAATGTCTAGAAAGTAAACATATTACATTAAAGAATCTCTCTCCTGAATTCTGAATTAATTGCTTCAAAAAATTGTTCATGAATATTTGTTCTGTATCAAATCTTACCACAGTCATTGATAAATATCTTTTAAAAATGCATGTTAAATTTAATAATCCATTTGTATAGCTTAATTTGGTATTACAATATCCATGGTCAATCCAACTTAAATCTTCTGAGCATTAAAATTTAATGTAATATTCTCATATTATGACATTGTGTATTTTCTAAGTATTGTCTTATAATTTTGTTAAAACATAGAACATAGAAGTTTTTATTTGTATTCAACTGATGTATGTACTTACTGATTTCACACACTGCTCCTGTGTAACCCACGTCACATTCGCAAATAAACATTGCTACATCATCGATACAGTAGCCATTGTTTTGACATGGATTGCTTGCACACTCGTCAATTTCTAAAAAATATAATAACATATTAAGTGGAGAAAATCTTTCTCAAACCAAAAATTGTAACATTTTAATTTCCTTTTTTTTTGCAAAGTTGACATCTTTAAATATAGTAATTAGTAAGTTATGTCTGTAATTTCTTGCAAAGGGGAGAAAGTTTTCTAATGCACTCGCTTATAGATTAATTATATAAATTAATGAAATATGAAATATAAACTGAGTAAAAATCACTGTCAGCTCTCAGTTGTGAACACATTTACGTGAGGAAACTAACAACAGGATTTTTAAAAAAGTAAGGATCTATAGTCATCATGAATATACTTCAGTATATTTAACTTTTAATTTCCCTTACAAAAATCCCCTATAGGACTTTATAGGAATACTTAAAACTCTATATAGGAATCCTACAGGACCTGATGGTCTCTATGTGAATTCTACTACATGTCTTATAGAACCCCATAGGATTTTGGGTTTATTTCCTTTAAGATGTCCAATTGGATCCTATCATACATTACAGCCCTAATGCCTCCGCAACAAATCAACAACTATACGATAACGAGCTCATCCAATCAACTGAAAATAAAGTAAACATAAGGAAATTTCCGTAAGGGCTTCTAACATTAATACTTACGAGAGTCACAGAACTGTCCAGTGTACCCAGGTAGACATTCACAGAAGAATGAATTGACTCTATCCGTGCAGTTGGATTCAGGGGAGCAAGGGTTGGACTGGCACTCGTCATAGTCTGGAAGAGAATTTGTGAACATGACAATTCAAGGAAAATTTTAATTTTAAATGATTAAAATCACGGGTATGTTATTAAGGCTATGCCTTTAGTTTTAAACTGTTTATTTAAATCTATTTTAATTAATTCTATATTTAAATCTACTCTAATTAATTCTATATTTTATATCAAGTAAGGCACGTCATCTCATTCTAACCTCTCCTCTATATCACTGCAGCTTTATTACAATACAACAGGCACAACCAGGCCGTGTCAATGAGACCATGTGAAAAGAGCTAGCTAAGCTAGACCACCCTAAGTAACAAGCGACAAACCCATTCTTCCCCTATACAGCTATATGAAGTTGTCTTGATAAATTAATTCTATTGTATGGAGTTTTTGGATCTAGGTCAAATACCATAACACTTACTGATCTCACGCCTGTATCGTAACCAGTTTGGGGATATATGAGACAAATACCATTGTACTTACTGATCTCACACCTATCCCCAATGAATCCTGGAGGACAGTCACACTCAAAGGCCAGGTTCAGATCAATACACTCTGCATTGTTCATGCAGGGGTTGCTCTCGCATTCATTGATACCTTTGAAAATAAAGTAATCAGTCAGCCATTACCAATGGTTACTCTATATAATTATAACAGCAAAGCTTAGCATTTCACTGGAAAAAGCATTAAAATCAAGAAAGTAAAATGGGACAAAACATAATTCAAATCTACTCGAAGTCAGTGTCCGACAAATATTCCCAAAGAACTAACCTTAAATCAACAATATGAATCATTTTCATGTGTTTATTTGACTTTCAAGAAAAAAAATTAAGAATGTCAAGTATTTTTCATCTTTAAAATCAGAATGTTGGTCAGGAAAAAAGAGGAAAAATACTGCAGCTAAAATAGTTCAATCACACACCATTTAATTTGGTCTTATCTACAAGAATTGAAATGACATCAGAGTTATTCATGATATTGTACCTTCAAAGCTCATGTTACAAAATTTGCCATAGAAATCAGCTGTACAGTTGCAGTAGAAGTCGGCCCATACATCATTGCAGGTGCCGCCATTCTGGCAAGGGCTACTTGCACAGTCATCTCCATCTAAAATTTAAGAAGTATTTATTTATTTATAACCCCACAGCCAATGTATCCTGTGTGAACAGCATATGTCCAATACTACAACCACAAGCAAGGGGGTAAGTGTCTTCCTAAAGGTGTTTACAGCAATTCCTTAATAAAAGAATAATGAATTCAAGGTAATGAACAATTTGAAATGTGTGAATATCACACCATTGCATGGATTAAGTTAATCATTTTATTATCCTTCCTATTTTCATCTATATAAAGTATTTCAGTTTTACTATTCATTCTTATATTGACTATCAGCAGTACTATAATAATTTAAAATTTAGGACCTACCTATGAAAGGTTCAAATGGAGGGGCAGGAGGAAGGACGTCCACTTCAGTTCTTCCCATCAAAGATTCGGCCCAGACTAAAACAAAATTACAACATGCTCATTATCAATGAATTATCAAATTTTTGCATGTATTACACTACAAATTTTGCACATATTTGCAAAATTTGCTTTCAAGTTTTTTAATAAACAAATTCTGTTGAAAATGAACATTTTAATCACTAGTGTACTTTCATGGTGCCAAGTCTTTAAAGAGATTTATAAAGAAAATAAAAACATATATTATGCACACAGCAATATTCAACAAAACGTTTTCTAGGAAATAGGGATGCCATCTACATCAAACCAAAAGAAGATCTTGATAAGAAACACTCACATGTGCAATTTCCAGGCAAGAAGGCAATTGTAGGGATATGCACTTGAACTCCGCCACCTCGAGCACAGATGCCGCGCAAACCAATTCTGTATGCTCCTGGTGGAATGGTCACTCCGGCACCAATCAGGCCATTGTGGCTGTTGGCACCGGTCAAGCTGGCCACAAACTGAGGCTCGCCTTCATCGTAGATTGCCCATGTTTCCAAACCGGTTTCTGGAATTGGCTTATGGAACACTCCAGACAGACAGGTTTCTTGGGTGATGTTCATGAATTCTGACATGCCCACAATGGCGCTGTCATCGGGGAACTGTCCATTGCAGTCCAAAACCCAACCAGCTTTATCTGAAAAAAAGATTGCATTATCCCCATTAGAGGCTGATGGTTAAAAAATATTCAATACAAATGTGAAGGTTCTTTTGGCATAAGCTAGAGAAATGAACTGATACTTTACCAGGCAATATACCATCTGCCTAAGGTCAATGTCACCAAGTTACAGGACCTTTGACTAATGTGACAAGTTATCACCCCAATATTTCTATTGAAATTGCATAGCTGTAATTCAACAAAATTAATCAAATAGTTTATCAGTTCATATTGTCAAGATGTACAATACTAAGGAATGACAATAGCCATTATTAATTTTTCAGACATCAGACTAATTTGCTTTGATAATGACTATATGTATGGAACATCTTGTTATGTAGTCTTAGGGGTTTTCCTACCAGTTTTTGTCCAATTGAAGTCAGTATCCTTAAAATTCATGTCCAATCCACATCCATGAGGTTCTGAGACATTACAACTGTGGATGTATACAAACTGGTATACAGGGTCATTGATCAAATCTGAAATTCAAGATTTTTCTTTATTAATCTAATGTCATCAATGCTTAGAGCATTTAGCACTTATATTTTCCTAGTCTTGCCATAACCATCATCATTAATGCCACAAAACAATTACTTTTTCATGACAGTGCTATGCAATTCAGAGACATTAAATCTTTTCATGTTTCACTAAAATGCCATGATTTCTGTTAAGATAATAGACTACTTTCTTCATAAATGCCTCATCCCTTACCAAAAACAAAGTAGATAATAGTAATAATGCTTCATTTGCTATGATTAACAAATGAAATCAATAAAAAAACAAATACATAAATGAGTGTGATGACCACAGAGTTAAAATGTTGATCAAAATTGACTTATTTCATCCATCATAACAGTGCAACTAGCACCATTCCTAAGAAACAACCAGGCCCACGACACTTACCCATCTCACAGAACATCCCACTGAAGCGTGGAGGGCACTCGCAGTAAGGCTGTGTTAGAGACATCTCGTGGCATGTTCCGCCATTCTCACAAGGGTTGTCATCACACACTGCCAAAATATATCAAAATAATAATAAAAACAGTCACTCTGGATAGGACTTATTTATGTTATGTGATTTAGAAAACAATTCATTCTAAACAAATGCTGCATGGTAATAAAAGTAGCACAAAATAATTTTATAAAGAAGAAATAATGTTTATATGTATGTAAATGTACCTGTACTTTTTTAGTAGTGGGAAAATATAGTTAAATGTAATATTTATGAGATAAATAGCTAAAAAAATAAATACTTCACTTTTCACATCATTCAAAAACCAACTAGTATAAACAGAGAATAACCAAAATGAAGGTATTTCCAGTAAACTCAAATTTGTCTATTTTTGTCCATTTAAATTAAAAAAAGAGAACCTGCACTTATTGCTCCCCTACTTTCAACTGTATACTCACCTCCTGGTCTTGTGTAGTTCAACATCTCAAAGACAGCTGGAAGAAAGAGTTGCAAAATGTAAAAAAATACTTAAGTATATGACTTGTACATCTACTTCATACCAATATCAAATGTGAAATACAGCTAAACCAAAAAAATACAATTTTTATTCACTTTATGTTTATAACTAATATGTATAAAAAGCATCTGTATCAGGTGATTTTTATAAAAAAAAACTCATACAACTAGAATTAAAAGAATTAAGAAAATATTTTTTCCTTAATGAGGATAACCACCATCACATTACTCTGATAAAACTTTAATTCTAATCTGATCTTTTTCCAAAACCAATCGTTATCATTATTTTGTATTCATGGACCTATTACTACAAGTTAGCAGCAGTAGCCCCATGCCAGCCAGACACAAAATACCTAAACCAACAGATAAACTATATACTTAATCTTAAATGGATAATCTTGACTGATTTTGATAAACTAAAATTATGATTTTGTGCTCATTAACTCACCATCGCAGGGCACTGGCAGCAGCCCCATGCCAAGAAGCACAAGTTCAATCCCCGGCTGTGTTCCACAAGAAGCTGCGATTGAATAATTATGCTCCCCTGGCATGATGTCGGCAAACGCCAAGTAAGCAGTCAAGCCCTGGCCCACTGGCATCTTCACGTAATTCAGTGGGACCTGAGGTGGCTGGAGGTCAAACAGTGGACGCCACTGGCCATACTGCTGTTCAAGAACTGTCATGGCCACATCACGATGGTGATCGCTCCCATAAAGTATGAACCCGCAAGAGGGAGCGAGAACAGAATGCGACATTAAATTTGCAATTGCGGCAGTATCGCCAGCATTTGTACCTGAGCAATTCAAGGCAAGGCGTCCTCGTACTGAAAATAAATAAAAAAATAATCATCTTTCAATGTTACTTCACCTGAAATTAAGTTGTTTACTAAGTATAAAAACGTTGCTGTGTCACCAAAACATAACCATCAAGATCTAAATTGTGTAATATTGATAGAAAAAATAAATGTGATACAACAATATAAATTCAATAAGTGTTTAATAAACTTAATGAACAAAAAGAAGTACTATGAGTCATTTGTCCTGCTTACATTTCACACTACTGCCAAAGACAACCAAGAACTTAATTTTTTTCTATTCTCCAATGGACCAAGCAATTAAGGTACCCTGTGCCACTGTACTAACACAGAGACTCTCTCTGCATCAGTACCATTACACAAAGCATATTCATGATCATAAAACACTACCAAAAATCAAAAACTTTGAGGGAATACTCACATTCCTTATTGGTGGTGAAATCCAATTCGTCTAGGCCCTGGACCTGGATGTAGTTACAGGGATTGTGTTCACTTATCATGCAGGTGTAATTGACCAATTCTGGGATACCATGGAAATTACCAAGTGGCAAAGCAGGTGAATCGCCGTATAACATAATCTCATGGATCCTACCCTTCATTTCTAGATATTATAAAAAAAGAGAAAAAAAAAGAAAGAAAATTAAAAAAAAAACTGAGTAAAAAAACAATTCATATCTTTTCATGTATTTCAGTTTCAGGACACTGCATTTTTTCTTATTGAAATTCAAACAAAATTCTTGGTATGACAGTTAAGACCAGTTTTCCAGTAGAAAGTTTCTAGTGAAGCAGACCGTATACTTAACGTACCATCACATGACACATGAGGTATGGAGCCTGATCCGAAGAGCGCAATTTGGACACCAGGATCATTACCGCAAGTGCCATCTATACTGTAGAGATATGAACCAACAGGACCGTCTATAAACCCAATTGTAACTTCCATCCCATTATGACTGACATTGAAGGTGAAGCTATCCAAGGGATCTGAGCTACTAAAATGGACGTCTTGGCCTCCTGTAAACAAAAATGTAATGGTGAAAGTTTTATAATTTACAGATGGAATACTGATACTATGATGTTAAATTTGTGTGTGTGTGTGTTAATCATTTAAAGAATTATAATTTTATTACTTTTATGAACAGTAATTTCCACAACAATTGCCAAATTGGCACAGTAGTTTATCGACCCAAATGCATATGCAATAATTTTAACCTCACAACATACTAAAAATATTTTTCAACAATCACTATGCTTACTTAAAGTTTAAAAAATGTTCATCATAATCATTAATTTCATTTCTAAAAATAAAGATGAAAAGTGTAAATTTGCACAAAAATTCTATCAGCAACAGATAGGTAATATCTCACCATTGGCAGAGCGTCCTGTAGAAGACAACTCCGCATCACCGGAGATAGAATACAAAATATAACTACATCGTTGTTCAGTGATGTTAACCAAATCTCCCATCAGTACAGCTCTTTGATTATTTCTGTTACTGCAGTCAAGGGTATATGGACCATCTGAAAAAAAAAGCATTCATCCAATACTAGTCATAGTTGTATAGTGCAAATAATAAAAAATTGTTAAATATCAAGAAATTTTCCACACAGAACATTTTATCATACTCAATTAAAGTACAGAGAAAGAAAGAAGTATTTTTTCTTATTAATATAATTAATTATGTATTTTATTTACTATAGAGTTAACTTGGACTTCAAAACAAAACACTGAACTCAGAGCTTTCAATAGTACTTTGTTAAGAAAATGTGGTATATGAAACCCAAATATTCATTAGTCTATCACCCCATTTCCATAGATTTTTAGATCGATCTATCCCTGTGGGAAGTCTCACTAGATTACTGTCAGCTTGGCCGGATTAAGCGTCTGTCCCGCCTACTAAAAGCTGGAAAGGGGTAATTAACTATGGTGCCCGCTCGGCTGACTGCAATTTAGGGTGAACCCCCAGGGAGTTAGGTCGATCTAAATCTTAATCTTTAGCACCCTATGGGACCATTCCCAGACCCTAACTGTGGATGGATCTATCTCTGAGGGGATTCACGCTAAATTACAATCAACTTAAGCAGCTTGGATGTATGTTATGCCTACTGAAGCTGTTAGGGGGTAACTAACTATAGTTTAGTAGCTTCAGAAGGCATACCAGACATCTTAGCCCCTTAGCTGACAGCAATTTAGCGAGAAACTCCTCGAAGATGGATCGATCCTGTTAGATCAATCTAGGTATGGGAACCAAGTCTATATCTGTCCTATGATAGTCCTGGCCCCCGTTTCACAAAGAATCTTAAATCCGTAGTCGACTAGCTCGAGCTGGGTGGCCTAGCTAGGTCGACTTAGCTGAAGTCGACTAGGAGTGTTTCACAAAGAATCTAACGTCTTAGCTTGGCGTGCTTACCGTAGAGAAACTCTTCAAGAAAAGGAGGTGTAAAATTGCAAAAGTTTCACAAGACATGACGTTTCATGGCCTCTTTCGGCCGAGAACGATCGTTTATCAACAATAAAAGTCAGCCAAAACACAAACAAAGTTTGTTTTTGAACTTTATTGATTAGTTTAACTTCAATACAACTTCAAAGTAACAGTTAAACATTAGCTTGTCGTGGAACACTACTGAGGGACGTCTAGCGGTCAAAAACATAAACAAACACGCGATCGGCTGGGTAAAGTGGAATTTTATTTTTTATTTTAATATTCCATAAATGTCAGTGCTATTCAAGGATATTATAACACAATATCTTGAAGGAGGTATGTTCTTTCCAAATTTTTGTTGTTTATGCTCTCATTTACCGAGTTTTAGTTGAGCTTGCCGACTTAAGTCTCCTCCCGAGGAGGCTTGACATCGTCGACTTACAGCTAAGAAAAAAATGACGTAAGCGACCTTTTAGATTCTTTGTGAAACGGGACTTAGTGACGTAACGACTTAATTACGTTGGTAACCAAGCCCTAAGTCAGGGAAACCGACTTAAGTTTTTTTGTGAAACGGGGGCCTGGTGTGAGCATGCCTCAACAGAAAAGAAAATCTGAGAAAAATAAGAAAAGCCTTACCTCCCTGTGGTTCCATCCAATCAACATCATCTTGTCTTTGATCTTGAGACAAATAGCAACCATTTGTGTCAGAGAATGTGCAAGTAATGTCGGCTCCCAGCAATTCTCCAGTGAGGTCAAATGGACCAGCTGGCCCTGATGACCCTGATGGCCCTGAGGGCCCTGAGGGTCCCATCATTCCATGAATCATACCCTTTATTTCTAGTAATATATAAAAAGAAAAAGAATTAAGAAGAATGGAGTTAAATAATAACAGTTACTTCTTTTTTCATAAGTTTTTGTTTGAGGACACAACATGTGGAGAAATTTAAGATATAAATTCTATTTTTTTTAAAATTCAAATCAATTTCTATCTTTGACTTTAAGCAAAATCAAAGTTAAAACTGAATGTACTAAAAATCTAATATGGTCCTGAATACATTTTCATTGCCCCTTACAACATATTAATTACCTCTAACAAACAAAATTTGAAATTAAATTAATCACATGCTGACAAACCTTGATTTTCTTTCTGAATTATGCTAAACTGACATAAATCAACTTTATTCATGGTCTAAAAAATAGTTTTCGGACAATTAGAGACCAGGGTCCCAAACATCAATCAAAAATATGTCTCAATGTTTAGACCAAATATTTAATCTACCACACTCTAGTCTAACCTTTTGTAGTCTGCTCAAATAAGTTTTGGTCTGAAATATTAGCCATGTCTCTCTTCGTATAAAACAGGCACAACATTTCACATAAATGGACTTCTTTATTGCTAAACCGTGTGACAAAGGTGGCTTAAACTTTTGGAAAGTATAGACCAATTTTCGGGCAAAAGATTCTAGTGAAACAGAGCTTCAATTTAACCTACCATCACATGACACGTGAGGTATGGAGCCTGATCCGAAGAATTCAACTTGGACACCAAGATCATTACCGCAGGTGCCCTCTACACTGTAGACGTATGAACCAATAGGACTCTCCATTAACCCAACTGTAACTTCCATTCCATTATGACTGACGTTGAAGGTGAAGCTATCCAATGGATTTGAGCTACTAAAATGGACGTCTTGGCCTCCTGTAAACAAAAATATAATGAGAAAAGTGCTAACTCTTTATTTACAGATGGACCACAGGTGGTATATGATATATTATGTATTCTTATTTTATGAATAATTTTATGAATCATAATTTTTATGAGTTTATGAGCAGTACTTTTTACAGCAATTGCCAAGTCAGGCCAGAAATTTGGATATATAATATTATGTAACATGTATATTTACTGACCCAAATGAGCATATGATAATTTTTAACTCGCCACCCAGACTTAACTAAGAGTATTTTTTCAACAATCACTATCACTATGCTTCCTCTAGGTTAAGAAACTGTTCATAATAGTTTTCCAAATGCCATTTTAAAAAATAAAGATGAAAAGTGTGACTTAACACAAAAAACTAACAGCAACAGATATATAAAATAATATCTCACCAGTGGCAGAATGTCCTGTAGAAGACAACTCAGCATCACCAGAGATAGAATATAAAATGTAGCCACATCGTTGTTCAGTGATGTTGGTAACAAAATCTCCCATCAGTACAGCTCTTTGGTTATTTCTGTTACTGCAGTCAAGGGTGTATGGACCATCTGAAAAAAGTATTCATCCAAAAATGGTCATATAGTATAGTTCAAATGATAAAAGCCAACTTTGTTCAGTAACAAGAAATTTTCCACACAACACATTTTATCATGCTCATTTACAATGCATAGAAATAAAAGTGTTTTTAATATAATTTTAATTAATATTAGACTTCCCAACTTATAACAAAGAACTTTGGCAAAAGCTTACAACATTACTTAATTCAAAAGAAAGAAACAAATGTCCATTAGTCTATATCTGATGTATGTTTGTTCTGATGTAAGCATACCTCAACAAAAAATTCTGAGAAAAATGACAATCCTATGAGCCTTACCTCCCTGAGGTTCCATCCAATCAAAGTCGTCTTGTCCTTGAACTTGAGACAAATAACAGCTATTTGTGTCAGAGAATGTGCAAGTAAAGTCGGCTCCCAGCTTTTCTCCAGCATCCATAGAGAAATGCATCTGTTCTGTCCTTTGCAGAAATTCTGAAAATAAAATATAAAATATTAAATCTTTTGTTATTTTGCAATTGTTAGAATTGCTGAATTTTTCTATAAGTGAATATTAGTACACAAAAAGGGAATTGTTTAAACACTTTTATTTATACTTTGTTCATTATGCTCTTTATTTATTCACTAATTATTTAGTTTTATTTAATATTCCATCACTGCTGATCTTGCTTTTGAAAGCATAGGTTCATCCCTCTAATTTTGTGGATAATTTTCCAGAAAGAGCTTTGCCCCCTCCCCCTACACACACACACACTTTAGTTTCACAGTTAAAACAAAAGAGAATAAATGTATTCTACATATATATTATAATTACCATCACATGTGGTATTTGGTGAACTTCCAAGTCCCAGCAATACCATGTGTACACCTGGTCCTGCTCCACAAGCCCCAACAAAGCTGAGGTTGTATTGGCCAGGTGGGAAGTCCACCATGGCATAGTTCATCGTCATGTTGCCCATGTGCCTCTCGAGATGAGCCTGCGGTATGACACCGCGCGAGATGTTGTAGAGAATCTCTGGACCATTGGGGCCATGGTTCACCACCATGAGATCAACGGGGGAGTCCGTCAGGGCAGTGTAGAGAACAAAACCACAAGTAGGACCGCCCACATTGAATATTTCTCTCAAGTTCAAAGCCGCCCTGTCACCAGGGCTATGATTACTGCAATCAAGGGCGTAGAACTCTCCTGTGACCAAGAAAAAAGTTTGAATAAATTATTTGAATTTTAGAAAAAAAATCCATCTTATAAAGAGAACTCTCATAGATCTAGGACATGCTAATCAGATTCAATGAATACACAGTGTTTATGTCATGTGTATGTAACCAGTAACTGAAAAGATAAAGAAAATTCTCAGTAATAAGAAAAAGTAGATATTTCTAAATTTATCTATAATCAACTTTCATAACCCTACTTGTGAGCAATTTCTACATCACCTTTTAAAGGTCACATTCTTCTTAAAACTCCACCAAGATTAACAGAGATTAACACCAATGAGATGAACACAGAGATAAACACCAATGAAATGAAAAGACACAGAATAATTAACACCAATGCTAACCATCATTTTGGGGAGTGGTCCAGTCAAAGTCATCATGCCTCTGATCTTGTACGAGATTACAGCTTTCATGTTGGCTAAGCATACAGACAGGGGGCCTATCATGTCCATGTCGCATATCCACTCCATCCAGAAATCCTGGGTAGCACCACTCTTTTGTTTGTGCATAGTAACCACCATGGCCTCCATGGCCGCCATATGCTGAAAAGAAATGGGAGAACAGAATACCAGTATATAAATTGAGTTTAAAAATTAGCATTTTTTTTTTTGTGGAAGGGTATCATTTGTTGCATTTGTAACTATGTTCTCCCACAAATGTAAAGTGGCCATAAAAAAGAAATCAAGAAATCGTTTCCAATTTAAGAGCTTGCATAAGAAAACTTAATTTAAAGATTTAAATTGAATAAATCGCCATGGTCAAGCAGACAACAAAAACATATTTTTTTAATATGGATAGTCTTATATATTTAAATTTTGTGATAATGGCCATGGATCTAGATGAGAGAAAACTCTTTTTACATTACAGATTCAAAAATCTATGGTAGGTAGATTCCCTGCAGTGATAAACAAATAAAAAACAAAAAAGCTGCTTCATTTCTAAGTTTCATTTTCATCCTGGCTAGCACAAAGTCTGTAACAGTTTCTCATAGTATTATAATCTTTATCTAAATTGTGTATAGCAACATTATCAAAACATAACTTACCACCACACTGTCCATCATATCCTCCAACTTGATTGATGAACATGAAACCAGAGCTACGACATTCACCAATAATTTCAAACTTGAATGTTCCAGGAGGCACTTCTCTGGAAAACCATTCATACCAGTCATGACCTCCAGTTCTGTTAACCAAGGTCATTGGGTATACATTGCCTTGTTCATCTCTGACATGTGCAATGGCGATGAATTTATCCCCTGGTGTGGCGTTGAACATGCCAGCTTCAATGTTGACACAGGTGGTATGATTAAGTTGTTCCATATGCAACAACTTCGCAACACCTTGGAAAGCTGAACAACTCATTCCCACATGTCCCACTGAAACAATGTGTTTTATTCTTATTTAATATCTAATATAAAGAATCCAGATACCTTTCCATACTAGTTAATAGCACCCTTGTCTCCCAACTCACATTCATATTGTTCTGCTTTGACAGTATCTCACAATATCTATAATTTTTAATCATTGAAAACATTCTGCCTTTTGCTTACTTCAACAATTGTCATATCAAAATGAAGATTCCTATAATAAAAAAAAATATCTTAAAAATCATCACAGTAAAAAACTTACATTGTGTGTCATTATGCCAGTCTCCATCATCATTGAGGTCTTGTTCCATTCCACAAAATGGTGTTTCATAGTCATGGAAACCACACATAGAAGGACCCATGTTGTCATGGCCTGAATGTCCACCGAAGTCTTCAAATTAAAATGAAAAAAATCATTTGTCATTAATTATCAGACATCATAATGTCCCCATAAAAACTGCATGTTTTGTTTGTCAATATATTCAAATTCATCAATGAAAATCAAACTGATGAATAAGCTCCCCAAATTATCTTATATTTATGGCTTATGTGTGCAAAGATCAGAGTGGACAAAATAATCAATAATCAATAAACAAATAATACAGATGCATTTATTTCTTTTTTAAGTAATGGTACCTAGTTGATGGTACCTAGATGATAGGGTCATTTGATGTCACAAGCTTGATACTCTAGTGATTGGCTTGGTAACTGCCAGTGACAGATATGTTTTGATATCAAAATGTCAATGATTTGCTATCCCATAGGCTCATAAAATAAAGAGGACCAGCAATTAAAAATCAATAGTGTCCAGCTGGCCCTATCATTTGCTTGACAGGAGTATCAAGTTGATGTCATGTTCCATTCAACTTGATGGTTCTTCGTAGCCATGGAAACCACACATAGGGGGAGCCACAATATAATGACCTATGTAGCCACCTGAATGTCCACAACTATAAAGATTGTATGAAACTAAGATTGCTATTTAAATGCAATAATATTTTGATTCCTTACCCATGCATTGTCCATCATATCCTCCAACTTGATTGATGGCCATGAAACCAGAGCTATGACAATCACCAATGATCTCAAACTTGAATGTTCCAGCAGGTACTTCACTCTTAAACCATTCAAACCAGTCATGACCTCCAGTTCTATTGACTAAGGTCATTGGGTATACATTGCCTTGTTCATCTCTGACATGTGCAATGACAATGAATTTGTCTCCTGGTGTGGCATTGTACATGCCAGCTTCAATGTTGACACAAGTTGTGAAATTAAGTTGCTTCATGTACAACAACTTGGCCACACCTTGTAGAGCTGAACAACTGATTTGCAACCGTCCCTCTGAAACAATACATGAATTATTTTGAGTTAAATATCTAAAATAAAATACAAATACCTTTCTATACTAGTTGATATGAAAGCACTCTTGCCTCCCACCTCCTATTTCATTGTAAATATCAATCAATGATTAAAGAGAGTAGGCTACTTGACAAGGTGTATTCTCTTTACCATCAAATAAATGTGTATACATGACATGTTCTTCATCCTATACCGCAGCTCATAATATACCATAATGAATCAATGAAAACATTCTGTATTTTCCTTAGACCAACATAATCGAATCAAAATGTAGAATATTACAAAATTATTAATAAATCATCACCTTGTGTGTCATTATGCCAGTCTCCATCATCATTGATGTCTTGTTCCATTCCACACAATGGTTCTTCATAGTCATGGAAACCACACATAGGGGGACCCATGTTTCCATGGCCTGAATGGCCACCAAAGTCTTTAAAAGTGAAAAAATTGTAATAAATTATCAGACATTGTTATGTCCAAATAAAACATGTATGTCTAATCTGTCATTACATTAAAATTTGTCAATAAAATATAAAAAGAACCAAAAAGATACTCAAGTACAATGTAGTCTTATATTTATAACTTTTGTACATCACAATTATGAGTACAAAGAACAGTGCACAAATTGATGTTTCAACATAGACTGGACGAAATAATAGTAAACACTATTGAGAGACAAAGTCAGCAAGAAAAAACCCCATATTTGATGCTGAATCATCAATATACAAATATGCTCAGAAATAATGAAGCCAGATGCAGTTTTTTTTAATGGTACCCTAGTGATGACACTGAGGTGACAAGGCCTTTTGATGTAATTATCTTGACACTCTAGAGTTTGGCTTGGTGACTGCCAGTGACAGATATGTTTTTATATCAAAATCATTATGCCAATAATTTGCTTTTCCATAGGCCCATGAAATCAAGAAGATCAGTAATTCACATTCAATAGTGTCAAGCCAACTTTATCATTTTCTTAACCAACTTAGTATAACTTTGAGGTCTCGTTCCATTCACACAATGTTTCTTCACAGTCATAGAAACCACACATATGGGGAGCCACATTATGATGACCTATGTAGCCACCTGAATGTCCAGAACTATAAAGATTGTATGAAACTAAGATTGCTGTTAAAATGCAATAACATTTTGATTCCTTACCCATGCATTGTCCATCATATCCTCCAACTTGATTGATGGCCATGAAACCAGAGCTACGACAATCACCAATGATCTCAAACTTGAATGTTCCAGGAGGTACCTCACTCTTAAACCATTCAAACCAGTCATGGCCTCCAGTTCTATTGACTAAGGTCATTGGGTATACGTTGCCTTGTTCATCTCTGACATGTGCAATGACAAGGAATTTGTCTCCTGGTGTGGCATTGTACATGCCGGCTTCAATGTTGACACAAGTTGTGAAATTAAGTTGCTTCATGTACAACAACTTGGCCACACCTTGCAGAGCTGAACAACTGATTTGCAACCGGCCCTCTGAAAAATTAAAAATTTTTAAATTTTTTTTTTAATTCCAATTATTTTATCAATTTTCAGTTATTGCAAGCCTTTTCAAAGTCCCACTTTGCCGACCTTTTCGTTCAAATCTAATGTTAATTATTTCAAAAAGGTTAGTTACCTGCCATGACCAATATCTCCTACCAATAAATACACAGACAAATGTTACAAATTTATAAACAACAATCATCATTATGGTTATTAATATCTACCTTGTGTGTCATTATGCCAGTCTCCATCATCATTGATGTCTTGTTCCATTCCACACAATGGCTCTTCATAGTCATGGAAACCACACATAGGGGGACCCATGTTTCCATGACCTGAATAACCACCATAGCCACCTGAATGTCCGCCATAGCCTACAAGGAAGAAAAAGTCTCAAAGTTAAAGAAAGATAAATCTGAATAAATACTGCCCCCAAAAAATTAATAGCACTGATATATTCATTATTTATAAACCACTTTGGATTTTTAATACCTTTATATAAAATTGAACAATGTTTTATACCAATTTTATTACTCGAAATAAAGTAAATAAATATTTCACATCAGGTTTCCATTTTCAAAGCAACAATAATGCAAATATTTATGCATTCATTTTTGAAAACATTTATTCAAATAAGTTTAACATTTCAAAGAAAATGCTATTTTAAAACTTACCACCACACTGTCCATCATATCCTCCAACTTGATTGATGGCCATGAAACCAGAGCTACGACAATCACCAATGATCTCAAACTTGAATGTTCCAGGAGGCACTTCTCTGGAAAACCATTCAAACCAGTCATGGCCTCCAGTCCTATTGACTAAGGTCATTGGGTATACGTTGCCTTGTTCATCTCTGACATGTGCAATGACAAGGAATTTGTCTCCTGGTGTGGCATTGAACATTCCAGCCTCAATGTTGACACAAGTTGTAAAATTAAGTTGCTTCATGTACAACAACTTGGCCACACCTTGCAGAGCTGAACAACTGATTTGCAACTGGCCAGCTGAAAAATTTTTAAATTTTTTAAAATTATTTTTAAAATTCCCATTATCTTATCAACATTCAGTTATTGCAAGCCTTTTCAAAGTCCTACTTGCTGACCTGTGCTGTCAACTCTAATTTTAATTATTTCAAAAAGGTAGGTTACCTGCCATGACCAATATCTCCTACCAATAAATACACAGAAAAAACTCAATTGTATCCTTAAAAACCATAATAATATCTCACAATTTGATAAATCAATCAATAAAGTAGTATTACTGAAATATGTGAAATTCTCTTCAAAATGGCAGTATGTTACAAATTTATAAACAACAAAATCACCACAATGGTTATTAATATCTACCTTGTGTGTCATTATGCCAGTCTCCATCATCATTGAGGTCTTGTTCCATTCCACACAATGGCTCTTCATAGTCATGGAAACCACACATAGAAGGACACATGTTTCCATGGCCTGAATGACCACCATAGCCACCTGAATGACCACCATAGCCACCTGAATGTCCTCCATAGCCTACAAGGAAGAAAAAGTCTCAAAGTTAAAAAAAAATAATAAATACTACCCCCCCCCAAAAAAAAAATATATATATATAGCACTGATATGTTCAGTATTTATAAACCACATTGGGTTTTTAATACCTTTCTATAAAATTGAACAATGTTTTATACCAATTTTTTTACTTGAAATAAAGTAAATATATATTTCACATCAGGTTAACATTTTCAAAGCAACTATAATGCAAATATTTATGCACTCATTTTGAAAAGTTTAATTCAAATAAGTTTGACATTTCAAAGAGCATGCTATTAAAAACGTACCACCACACTGTCCATCATATCCTCCAACTTGATTGATGGCCATGAAACCAGAGCTACGACAATCACCAATAATTTCAAACTTGAATGTTCCAGGAGGCACTTCTCTGTCAAACCATTCAAACCAGTCATGGCCTCCAGTTCTGTTAACCAAGGTCATTGGGTAAACGTTGCCTTGTTCATCTCTGACGTGGGCAATGACAAGGAATTTGTCTCCTGGTGTGGCATTGAACATTCCAGCCTCAATGTTGACACAGGTGGTATGATTAAGTTGCTTCATGTACAACAACTTGGCCACACCTTGTAGAGCTGAACAACTGATTTCTAACTGGCCAGCTGAAACATTTAAAATTGCAATGGTTTTTATAAATATTCAGTTACTGCATTCATTTACAAAGATGGATTTGCCCACCCGTTCTGTGGACTCAAATTTTAATTATCTCAAAAATGGTAAGGTTCCTGACATGATCGATTTCTTTTGCCAGTCAGTACATAGACAAATAATCAAATTAAATCCATACAGTGCCTCTAACTAGTAAAATATATTAATGAAATTATATAATTGCAATATTCTGACTTTTCTTCAAAATGGCAGCTTGTAAAAAATGGTAAAAAATCATTACAATGGTTATTGAAAATTACCCTGTGAGTTATTATGCCAGTCTCCATCATCATTGAGGTCTTGTTCCATTCCACACAATGGTTCTTCATAGTCATGGAAACCACACATAGGGGGACCCATGTTACGATGACCTGAATGACCACCATAGCCTACAAATATTACATTGCAGTAATTCTCTCAAGCCTCAATTAAGATAAAAAACCAATAATGAATAATAAATTCAGAAGTCAGTCCATGATTTGGATACCTTTATGCTGTTGTTCAAATTTCTCTACATTCCACTGTTTTTTAAAATTCATGTAAATTACATCAAACAAGGATAGGATTTTTTACTTTATGAGAACAGCTTTACTGAAAATAAATAGATATTCATTTTAGAAATCTTTTCAAATATGCGACACATATAATGAAACAATTTATGCTGTTTAAGAGCCGAATTCATATGTGAACAAAAACTTACCACCACACTGTCCATCATATCCTCCAACTTGATTGATGGCCATGAAACCAGAGCTACGACAATCACCAATGATCTCAAACTTGAATGTTCCAGGAGGCACTTCTCTGGAAAACCATTCAAACCAGTCATGACCTCCAGTTCTGTTCACCAAGGTCATTGGATATACGTTGCCTTGTTCATCTCTGACATGTGCAATGACAATGAAATTATCTCCTGGTGTGGCATTGAACATTCCAGCCTCAATGTTGACACAGGTGGTAAGATTAAGTTGCTTCATGTACAATAACTTGGCAACACCTTGTAGAGCTGAACAACTGATTTCTAACTGGCCCGCTGAAACGTTACAAAATTATAAAAATAAAGAAAATGAGCAATTCTCATCAGACTACGTAATCTTCAATTAATATTCAGAAGAGAAGCAATGGTTTAACATATTCCTATTTTGAAATTAATCAATCTGAACATAGAACAGATGCTGCTGAATTTCTTATTAAATGTTCCTTATGACAGCCCAATGGTCAGCCAAATTTTCATTGTCAAGTTTCAACATATGCCTGCCTCTCATATCTGAATTTCTGCAACTTCTGATTGAAGTTCACCACACTAGTAACAAATGTTAGGCAGACCAGTAAGCTAAATCATTTGCTCTTCTCCAGAAACAATAAATTATTATGTACATCTGTGACTGGCATGGTAGACTTGAAAACATGTTGCTGCATCACAGGGTTCAAAGGGTAATTATTGTACTTGTACTAAAATAAAGTAGCTGGCAGGCACCAAACAAAGCTCCGGTTACAAAAGTGAAAAACATTAACAAGGGTGGAGTCCGTATCATGCGACTTTGCAAACAGATAAAAATCATCAATTATTGAAAATTTCTTGATGTGCTAATTACAAGTTTATTTTTCCACAATGCAAACATGAAAAAGATACTTACAAGTAAACTGTAAAATAAATTAATAACATAAATCTACCTTGTGTGTTATTATGCCAGTCTCCGTCATCATTGATGTCTTGTTCCATTCCACACAGTGGTTCTTCATAGTCATGGAAACCACACATAGGGGGACCCATGTTTCCAGGACCTGAATGCCCATCATAACCTACAAATGTCAAACATCAATGTCCTTGCAAAGTCCAATAGAAAAAAGATACAATTATGAATGAGTTGTCTAAGAAAAGACCAATGTTTTCAATAACAAGTACTACAGTGCTGTGATAAATATTCAAAATACTACATACTTTTTGAACAATTATAATAAATATATAAATACTGTTGATATATCTAGACATTAGAACTATGTACCTTTCTATATTAAAGAAGTTATCAAGAAACTTACTTCTACACATTCCGTCATATCCTCCAACTTGATCGATGACCAAGAAACCAGAGCTACTACAGTCACCAATGATCTCAAACTTGAATGTTCCAGGAGGCACTTCACTCTTAAACCATTCATGCCAGTCATGACCTCCAGTTCTATTCACCAAGGTCATTGGGTATACATTGCCTTGTTCATCTCTGACATGTGCAATGACAATGAATTTGTCTCCTGGTGTGGCATTGAACATTCCAGCCTCAATGTTGACACAGGTGGTATGATTAAGTTGTTTCACGTACAACAACTTGGCCACACCCTGCAGAGCTGAGCAACTGATGTCTAACCGACCAGCTGAAACATAACAATAAGTACCATTACTGCAAAAAAAACTTTTTTGGGGTTTTATATTAAAGATTTTTTCCCCTTCAATCGCATTTATCATGTCATCAGTAAAATGACAATTGTGCAAATATAACTGGTAAATAAAAAGTAATTCAGTCAGTTAACAATGAAGATTCTTCTTCTACTCAAAACATGTACGTAAAGAAAGTAATTTAGGAGTTTTTGTCTAACCCTGTCTGCAACCCATAGTAGCTTTGAGAATAGCTATGAGTTATATATACTTTCATAAAACATGCAGCTCTAATGTAGCTTAATACATTAAAAATCTTCAAGGTTATCAATAAAGCAATAAATTACCTTGTGTGTCATTATTCCAGTCTCCATCATCATTTAGGTCTTGTTCCATTCCACACAATGGTTCTTCAAAGTCACGGAATCCACACATAGGGGGACCCATGTTATGATGACCTTGGAAGGCTACAAAATTTGTTAAAAATCAATGTTTATCACACATATAATCACATCTTCAAAGTATAACACAAATAACTATTTTTTCTGACTCTCTAATCATAGGTTTTATTAATATAATCTGATCAATTAAGTGTATTCAAATTGTTTCAAAAAGTAACCAAAACCAGGGTCCTATTCTATTGTGCAGGCAATATTTATGTAACAAACATTAAGACAAATAAGTATTTATCTATAAGGCCCCACTCTGCAAGAACTCTTACAGAGTGCAATCAATAGAATACAGAAAAACTGGTGATTATATGAGAACATTGGAAACAAGAGGAAATGTGTCATTCAGTTGAGCTGATTGCACTCAGTAAGAGTCCCTGCAGAGTTGGGTCAATCTACATAGACCAGTGGTGTCTATGGGATTGAGGTCTTTGCCTAGCTTTTGCTTTAATCACCACAACAAACCCCAACTTATTGAATGACAAATGACATATTTTGACATTATTAATTCTGTAACACCCATATTCTAAAGTTAATACCAGGAGCCAGTTATATACAAAAGAACTTTTATATATGATAATAATCAAACATAAGCCAAAAACACTTATGGCCAACCTGGACATCAGAGCAATGTTAGTAGATGTTGTTACACACTGAACGCTAGGTGGTATAGTGGCCCTAGTGATTAGTGAGTAACAACATCTACTAACATCAGTCTGATGAAGACCTACATCCGGGTTGGCAGTAAGCTTATGGTAGGGCAGTATTCTGGCCTGTGTTTGATAATTATCATATATGATCCAACTCTCAAGCTAATGAACATTTTGCTCAAAAGAACTTTCAGTTTAAAATTATAATGACCTTCAGTTCGAGAAGAATCCAAAATAGCCCAGTAATGAATACAGACCATTTTGGGCTTAATCAATAAACATGTCTCATTTCTTTTTTTTCATAGTCATGGAAACCACACATAGGGGAACCCATGTTTCCATGACCTGAATTCCACTGGATTACTTACTGATTTATCTCCAGCCAAGAAAGACTTCAATGTTAGTCTAAATGTTAAGACCAATTTTTGGGCTCAAGTTCTTTTGAAAAGTTGGTCACAGATTTGGAACTTACCACCACACTGTCCATCATATCCTCCAACTTGACTGATGACCATGAAACCAGAGCTTTGACAATCACCAATGATCTCAAACTTAAATGTTCCAGGAGGTACTTCTCTGTCAAACCATTCATGCCAGTCATGGCCTCCAGTTCTATTCACCAAGGTCATCGGGTTTACATTGCCTTGTTCATCCCTGACATGTGCAATGACTAGGAAATGGTCTCCTGGCGTGGCATTGAACATTCCTGCTTCAATGATGGCGCAGGTGNGCCAGAAAAGTTTCCAAAATCAGGATATCCGGTGAAATTAAACTGTAAAGGAAAGTCTGTGACATTTTCAAATCCAGAGAAACCAGAGACTGAACCAGAAAAACCTGAGTCTGAACCAGAAAAGCCAGAAACTGAACCAGAAAAGCCAGAGACTGAACGAGAATGACGAGCCCTTATTGTTTCTGAATCTTGTGAACTAGTTGGAAAAAGACCAGTACCATAGTACCCTGAATATCCAGCTTGACCTGAAGCAAAATTAGTGCAAGTGCTCAAAAAACATTAAACGTGTTACAAAACATACACTATAAGTGCAACACTTAAAGCACCATACATTTATTAAATGTTTTTACACTGAAATCATCACAGCTGTTATCAAATCATATCGGATTATTTAATTTTCAGTATGAAAATAAACTCTGATGTTAAGGTATTATAATTAATTGGCAACAATAATAAGGTTAACATTTTGTTACAATTAAAATCCATGTGATGTTATAGCATCAAATTATTTGACAAATTCGGGTTACATTTTCAATACACAATCATAATGAAGCCAATGATAGTTTACCAAAAGGTTTAAATAACAGGTCATTCAAGGAACCTTTTGGGTATCAAGATTTAGCAAATGAAGTGGTTTAGTAAAACAAGTCTGTATAATTATGTGTGCTTAAAACAATGGTAGACTCAACAGTGCATGGTACATGGTAAGTAGGGTTAAAATTGAAATTTGTACAATTATTTTATTATATTAAAGGTCCTTGTTGTTATCTTAGTATTAAGGGATATTAATTAAAGAGCTTTAGACATGTTTAGGGTAATTTCACAGACACTTCAGTTCACATTTAGAAATTAATTGGTTTTGAAAGTCACAGCATAATGTCAAATTAGATAACTTCATGCTGGAAAGTGTCCAACTGTTATTTTATTTTAGTAAAAAGTCATGGTGCAACTTAAGCCTTAAGTTATATCAAAAGCCTTGATCAGGCATTCACAACAACAGATAGTCAGAACACAGCCAGCAGATCACTGGTTACAAAAGACAGCACTGTATCAAAAGACAAGACATAAAGAATTAAAGAATTATATTGCATCTCGAAACCATAGTTTATAGCATTGAAGACAGACAAGGGACATTTTTCAACCCAGACAAAAGACAACAGTTACTGAAACTGCCACAGCATCTCAGAAAGAAATAATTTATTGAAGAGTAACATCATGTTATTCTCAACAGCATAACACAACATAAAATGAAAGAATCAATGGCAGCTACTGAATACACAATTTTTAAATCTAATTCTGGGCTTAAAATGCCTGTCAACAGATATGATTGTAGATGTGACTGTGACAGTATTATAAGTTCAGAATTAGATTTTAAAATACATGTGTATACATGTATATAAGCTCAACCACGTATCTAATAATCTCAAAAGCTGGTAATATTTTAGTAAACATTTAGATAATAGTTTTAGGTATATTTATAAAACATATCAATAAATAACCACAACAGACTTCAATGTAAACAATATTTATTGTGTTAATATATATAGAAGCAAAGATGAATATATATCATCGGAAAGAAGGGGAAATTTTAGTACTTTCATTAATATATCATTATTAGTTGAAAACATAACAACATTACAAGCCAAACTCGCACGACATCAGAATTCTTTCCTACATAATTAGTGCATAATTAGTCACTCTGGAATGCCAAGCTGTCACTGATTCTCAGATTGGAAAATAATAAGGTTGGACCTGAAGAAGGTACAACCCCCTTTTCGGAGGAATGGCTCTAGAATGAGGCACGTACAAACTGTATCTACAAGTAAGCAGCTAGAAAAGGGGGGTGGTACAATGAATACACTAATTGGCATCAATCTACACGTATACCTATTTATCTATTATCACAATCCAAAACCTGACTAAACTAGGCATATGATGACATACCTGAGTGACCAGGGTATCCAGATGAGTTTCCAGGAAACACCCCGGCACCACTGCCACCTGTTGAGGAGAAATATAATGACTCTCTCAAAATGCCTTACAAACAAGCATTATGGTTTTATAAAGATATATTATTAATAATGTAGTTATTAGGTCATAACCCTTAATTAAATGTGCCAAAACCAATAAAGACTGATTAAAAGACAAAGGTAACTCTTCAGTGAAAATTAAACATATTATCTATACACAAATGTTAAGCAAATCTAATATGACTGTTTTAGACAGAAAAACACCAACTATATGCCCAGATTAAAAGTGGCACTGTTATGACCCCAACTGACTGGAAGAGCCTCACCAGGTTTCAATTAGTACATTAGTCTTTACAGCTTATCTGGGCATATAGTTGGTATTTTTCTGTCTAAATTAGTACATAAGCTGTAAAGACTTGGGATAAATTAATCATTCCTTATCAAAAATAGATGCAATTCAGTATACATTACTTGAACCAGATAATCTTAAAGGGATAATAACTCTTCGTTTTGGCCAAAAAATGAATTTTCCTGGAGTAAACAACAATTTTCCCATACTTACCAATGGTTAATGAATCCATTTTTACATTCAAATTTAGTCCTGGTTTTTTTCTAAAAAGTTTGGTTTTTTGTTAAAATCTCTTAAGAGGTTATAACAGAGTATAACCATCAATGGAGGTCACGTGATCTGAAGACAAGCTCAGATATCAGAATAATAGCTATAACTGCCGTAAAACAGAATATATTATATTTCTATGAGTTATTTACAATGTTTTTATTGTGAAATAAAGATTTCATACGAAGAGTTATTATCCCTTTAAGCTAGACTTACCCCCAAAGAGGCCATCTCCATATCCAGAGTATCCAGATCCAGAGTATCCAGACCCGGAGTATCCAGAGACCCCAAACAGCCCACCTCCATTATATCCAGATCCAGAGTATCCTGATCCAGAGTTTCCAGATCCTGAGTATCCTGAACTATCCCCAAATAGTCCACCACCAGCTTGTCCAGAGTGCCCTGAAGGGCACAAATAAAGTGCATATGCTTCAAAATGGTATATTTTTGATAGTCAATGTAGAGCACTTAATCCAGAAGTGACAGTTTTGTAAGCCATTGATAAATGAAACGGTCATCTCATTCAAATATGCAGATATACTTATTCAAATAAAGAGTGCAAATAATAGCCAAAACAAGCTTTTAAATTAGATAAAAAATGTCACTGAAATGATTGTGTTGAACAGGGGGATAAAAGAGACCCATTTCACTTTCATTTTGTAATAATTATATTTATCTTTACTCTCATACCAACACATATCTCACAGTATCTAGCTCCTGGCCATAAATTATTTACCCTTAATACTTAAATACTCCAAATATTGCTAGATGTGGATAAAGCAATACCAGAGGATCATTCACTCAATTTCCAAAGCCACAGTATTTTAATTCTAATGATTAATTTAAATTAACCCTGACATCTCACTTACCTGATCCTGAGTATCCAGAACCTGAATTTCCAGATCCGGAGAAGCCACCTCCAAAGATGCCAGATCCCGAGTAACCAGATCCAGAGTAACCAGAGCCAGAGAAGCCACCTCCAAAGAGTCCAGAGCCTGAGAAACCGGATCCAGAGTAGCCGCCTCCAAAGAGTCCAGATCCTGAGAATCCAGATCCATTGTTGCTGTCTCCGAAGATTCCAGAACCAGAGAATCCAGATCCTGAGAAACCAGATCCTTGGTTTCCACCTCCAAAAATTCCAGACCCAGAAAATCTGCATCCAGAATATCCAGACCCTGAAAATCCTGATCCAGAGTATCCAGATCCATAATTACCACCTCCAAATAATCCAGAGCCACTAAATCCAGAGTAGCCGCCTCCAAAGAGTCCAGATCCTGAGAATCCAGATCCATTGTTGCTGTCTCCAAAGAGTCCAGAACCAGAAAATCCTGATCCAGAGAATCCAGATCCTTGGTTTCCAACTCCAAAAATTCCAGACCCAGAAAATCCGGATCCAGAATATCCAGACCCTGAAAATCCTGATCCAGAGTATCCAGATCCATAATTACCACCTCCAAATAATCCAGAGCCACTGAATCCAGATCCAGAGTATCCTGATCCAGAGTACCCTGATCCAGAGTA